AGGTTAATATTCAAATTCAATGTGACGAGTATCAAAAAGAAAGGAATCCTAATGAGGAAGTATTTTTTAATAGATGCTGTAGTAAGTATGGAAAACCAGGTTATAATTCAAGAACTTATCAAAACGATATAATAGATTCTAGATTATTAGATTCTTAATAGTTTTAATCAATTGAATCAATTGTTGTTGAGTAATATGGATTTAAAAATACAAATTGAAGTGAAAGTGGGCCGCATGATGATATGGGCCGCATGATGATAAACCACGTTAGCTTTGAATCTATTATAGCTTATTATATGTATTCATTTATTTTGATCTTACAGTATATTTATCCTACTTATCCTATAGTATTTAATTACTAGATAACTTGTTTTTTATCTGTTTTATTGGATTATTAATTCCTTATTCTTTTTTTCTTAAGAAATCATTTGGTTACTTCCTTATTTAATTAATGAATTCTATAAAATTTATTATAGCAAGTAGTCTAGCTTATTATTATATAATCCGTTGAGGTTTCTTCCTTATAGCATTCTTTTATTACCAATAATGATAGGGTTTGATAATATTCCTATTCTTATAAGTCTATTATATTTATACCCTTTTGATTTTGTGGTAATTCGTTTAATAATTTTCAGAATTCTTTATTAATAAAGGCCTCAATTTCTTCGGTCTTAATTGAATGTTCCTGGGATATAAAGGTAATGTTAAGTTAGTCTTTATTGAACTTGAGTTTGAAATTGCCTTTCTTTTCTTTTGTCTTCTTATTTTAATAATTCATTACTTAATACCTTGCTTTTTCATATTCAAAGTATAAATTGTTTTCTTACCTTTGTCTTTTCTTTGGATTATTATTCTCATTTCTGTAAAGTGTAACATTTAATTCTATAAGATCTTTATATCTTTATGGATTGTAATGTAATCTGTCTTTATTCTTTTAATAACACTCTTACTTATTTGTTTATAGTTTGTATAATCATTGGGTTTGTTTGTACTTGTATATACAGTCATTAATATCGATAAAGCTTTTAATTAATCCGTTCAAGTTATTGTTCTCCCTTTCCCTATCAAATTTCAAACATACTTCTGATTTGAATTCTTTACAATAATAATTTATAATAACGATCTCATTTTATTTAATTATTCCCATATATCTTCGGAATTCCATAGTATACTTCAATACCGATCCTATCTGTTTGAAATTAAAGATTTTCTTTTCCACTATCTCTAACTCATTGGAGTTTCCAAAGATTCTACATATTTCTGTTTTAAATCCTTCGAAATTATTAAAGATAATTCTTATAGACTGCATACATTCCCTATTGTTATGCTCGAAATAGTCGCGCAGGTATAACTAAATCCATTTGCCTATTTCACCTCTAAGGTATAATACAATTCAAATACTCTTAGATTCCTTTTCAATAAATTTATTTTAATTAAATCTAAAATAAATTTCAAATTATAATAAAAAAATGTCGAGTTCCTATTGATTTCCTTAATACTTATTTAGTAAAATAATCTTAAATATTTTATTAATAATAATCTCCTTAAAAACATTAATTATTTCAATATTATCGAAATTACTTATTAGAACCTATTAACTTCTGAAAGAATTGTTGACTGTTATACTAACGATTAGTATTGAATTAGTATTTGAAGTAGAAAAGGTGCTCAAAGTATTACGGAAGCTACTTTTAGGGTTATATAAAAGTGTTTAGAAATCTTTTAAAATAGTTTAGATTAAACTTCAAATAAGAATTCAATAAGATTATAACTAATTATAATTCTTGTAACTATAATAATAAAACTAATAATTATTTTTGAATATAAAGTTTTATATTGTAATGAAACTTATTCCTTTATATAGACCTTCTTGTTTAATATGATTAGTATGGTTTAGTACTAATTTGTTTGTATTTTTATAGCTTAGTATCTATTCTGTTGAGGCAGATTGAGCCAACCACGTGACTTAGTGCCTAGTCCCGTGCCTATATTGCGTTGTTCGTAATACTATTTACTAGATCTCAATGATTAATATTCATATAGTAATCATATACTTTCTTTATTTAATAATAGAATTTTTAAAAAAATTGAAAATATAATATTTAAATATGTTAGTATTATGAATTTCAAACTTTTTATTAAAAAATTGATTTAATATAAAAGTTATTATAGAAATAGTTTTATTTGTAATGGAAATTATAACTATTTGGAAATATTTTAAAATATAATAGAGATATTTATATAAAAATTAGATTTTCTAATTTGAAATTTTTATCTTTTATTAATTTTTTAATTTTTTTTTGGAGAAAATTGATTAATTTTTAAAATATAGATTTTTAAAAATGACTGATTTTGATGTATTTTAAAATGATTCGCTCGATGATATGATTCACTCGATGATAAACTACGTTAATCTTAAAGGAACTAAGAAAATTAAAAGAAAAGAGATATAATTAATTTTTAAAACTTAAGGAAATTAATTAATATAAAGCTTTTTTTTATATTTTAAGAATTAAAATTTATATTTGTTATAATAATTCTTTTATTATATAATTATTTAAAACAACTTCGAAATTATTTCTTTTATTCTTCAAATATTATTATGTTAATAAAAGTTTAGTTTTTAAGATAAAAAAAAGAATTATTTTGATCGATTTCTAAAGTTTTAATTAAGTAATTATATAATCTTTCTTTTTGATTTATTAAATTTCATTAGCTTTTATACTAAATAATTTTTTTAAAAAATTGTAAGTTTTGATTGAGATTATATCAATTAGAAATCCCGATATTCAAGATATAAATATTAAATAGTTTAATAATTATAATTAAATTTAATTTGAATATTATTATATTGAATTTTAATTTAACTTCTTAAAATAATTTAAAATAACTTATATTAATTGATTTCTAAAATCCTAATTAAAATATTATTGTTTTTACTGTTTATTTCATTAGTTTCCTAAAAGTCGTATAATAGTAGTAGTAAATTCATAATCGATTTAATCTATATAGTTATGCTAAGACCATACGATACGCCTATATATGGTTCTAATTGAATAAGGTAGATAGGAAAAGGAAATAAAACCCTATTTCCCTTTGAACTTTTTTATTAAAATCTACGGGTAATTTCCTAAGTAATTCTTTTAAATCCTTTAAATTATCTATATTATAGATTTATTATATCTAAAAACCTTTCCTTTATTAGATCCTTTGATATATTTATAGAAACTTTATGTTTTCTATTTTATTATAATAATTCTTTTCTTTCTATTCAACTCCTTTCAAAATATTATAAAAGCTATGGTTAATTATAATATTGTATTCTTCTTAAAGAGTTGTCTTTGCTCTCTAATACTTTAAATCCTTTAGGAATTCTATTATAACCTTTAATTCATTATTTATAAGTCTTATATTCACCTTCTCCTATAATACATCAATAATATATAATTTCTTCTTAAAGTCTAATATTTTCCATTCCCTTTTCTCCCATTAGATTACCCTATCAATATAAAACATAATATATTAGAGCTTATCAAATCATTCTATCAATATAGAGGATAAAACTATATTATAGAACTAGATGATTAAATGAGATCGAAATAGTAGGTGTAATGATATCGGGATACTATTGTTTTAATAATATATACTCTATATTAAAGAATTATTATTTCTTCAATTATAATTAGTGGTATATTATCTATCATACAAAATAGTATCGAAATCAATATTTCGTAATAATATTATATACTAATATAAAGTACTGTACACCTAAATTAATATATTATAAATGTTTTTCAAAAGATCTAGCTTTTCTTTTTATTATATAAAGTAGTTATAGATATACTAGTAGAATATTAAATACTATATTGGTATATCTTTTATAAGATATTTCTTGAAAAAAGTAAAGCCTTTTGAAGAGTTTTTACCCTTCATTTTTCTATGTCTAAAAGCCTTCTTCTTTATAATTAAAACTCTCCTATAAGATCTCCAAGTACTGAAAAGTCTAAATCATTATAAAAATCTATAGTTTAACCTTTTTCATTAATTATATTCAATATAATAAGTCTATTATTAATAGTATTAATATTAATAATTTCGATATAAATACACTAGATCTTTTTCCCCAACACTAATAATGATATCTTTTCAACCTGAGTAAATATTAATTTAATGATTTTGAGAGGGGATAGAAAATAATATTCTGATTTGAATGTAATAAAGATTAATAAGTTTTTTTAAGAAAATCTTTTCTTAATTTTTTTATGTTTTCCTCAAAAGTTATATATTGATTTTTTTTTAATATTATATAAATTAATTAGATTATATTAGTTATATAATCTAATTTAATCTCTTCTTTATCTTTATATATAATAAGCTTATTTTATTTATCTTATAATAGTCTTTACTTAATAAGGAAAATTTTTCGAAAAATTTATATATTAAATTTTTTTTATTGATATACTTTTTAAGGGAGATTTTAAAATGAATTTTAAAATAAGATAAATAAAGTTAATAATAAAGGTGATTTAATGATATAATTTGTTTTTTTATAAATCTTATTAAGATTATGTTTTGTAAAATACAATTTTCTTTTTTAAGATTTTTATGAATATATTATATAAATCATAGAAATCTTTTTTATATTAAATAGAAATCTATGACAGAGAATCGTCGAGATTTTGCGAAAACTTTCCTTCGAGTAGCTAGTAGGATCTTCATGAGTTAACTGTAGGAGTTTGTTTCATAATCGAAGTCCTACATTTCCATCAGTGCTCAAGAAATTAAACTGTCGATTCGATTGCTCGATTGCTCGATTGCACAAGACAGCTTCTAATCAACAGTTAATTAGCATCACAAGTCGACCAGTACGTATTGCAGTTACCCACATTATTCTTTTTAATACCCTTGCTATTTTCTTCGGAAAATCATCTGACTTCTTTACTTGTCCGCAGTACATAATCTCCTACCAAACTGCAAATCCAAAGCTTTTAATTCCTAAAATGGTCGTTCTCGACAAACTTCCAGGCCTAGAAGTCGCTGTTCGAGTGAATGGAGTCCAAGTCCAGGAGTATGATGACGATGAGGATGTGGAAATTGGGCCGGGACCGAGCGGCGAACATCAAGCGTCGAGAACAGTCTCCAAGTATATTGAAGCCATCGATGGGGCCGAGTTCAGCATCATTTGCACTTTGTTACCCAAACTCAAATTCAACGCGCCAAATCTCCGAGCACGTGTATCCGTCGATGGCAATTATGCCCAAGGGAGAATTATCACACCCGAAGACATAGGAAGATCTCCATGTAAATTTGAAGGCCCAATCAATTTCCATCCTATCGGAAACCGTTCGACGTTACAAAGATACAGGTTTTCTGAGCTCCGCATATGTTTGTTTCCACAACTTCGCAATTGTCAATCCGTTATGCCGTGCTAACATTACGAAGCAAGCGAGGAAGGTCGACTCTCAAGCCTAAAAAAGGATAAAGTCGAAGCTGAGAAGGTTGGCGCGATTGAGATCAGAATCTGGCGCGCCTCCAAAACAGTACCAGTGCAGCCTGTTCATCCCCAGACCGTCCACTCGAGCTCCAATACGTTTCATGAAAAGGCGCTCAAAGGTCAAGCAAAATCACACAATGTCTCGTATGTAGGCTATGATCATACACTCGCCAGTCAACTTACGGTCTTAGGTATTCCCCCGAGACTACTATCCCTGCACCTAGATACGTAAATGCCATAAACCTCGACGGCGAAGATTATCCCATAGCTATTTATAAGTTTAAATATCGGTCTAAAGGTACATTAGACTGCAACAGAATCGGAAGGCATTGCTGATATCGACATAGAATGTCTCAAGCAATTGATGATCATTGAGCGGAGCCCCGAACCAGAAGATAGCCCAACACCAGGTCCAGAGCCTGATATCGATCTCGATAATTTGACCGCTGGTCAAAAGGAGCGCCTCAAGGCATTTCTACGTAACGAAGGGATTGCTGTAAGTAGCACAGTGATGTCAAAGCATACATAAGCTAATGTTTTTTATAGGCGGGTCGCGCGTCTAATACCCCCGAGCGAAAAATCAAGCGCGAGCGGGATAACGGTGAAGGCAGCTCAAACCAAGCACGAAGAAAGAAATGCACTACAGTGGTCGTTGATCTTACTGCAGATTCTGACGAAGATGCGTAATAGTGGAGCCACATTTGCAAATTTAAGACGGCGGCGATATCCTTTTTATTTTTATCGGGAGCGTTCTCAGTTTGCTAGTCGAAAATAAACGCCGTCATTTATTGCGTATGGGAGATATTCAAAGGATCTAATGGCGTAATGAAGGGGAAGGAAATGTATTTTAATGGCGCAATGGCTCCATGGCGTCACGACAACTCAATCCTAAATTTGTGTCCTTTTTGGTCTTGCAAGCTCATAGATAACGAACTCACTTAGCTATATCACAAAATAACGAAAGAGTAAACATTTCTGCTCGTGACTCTCACAATTCGTAAGGCTCCAGCATTAGTATTTTACGCTCGTTATGAAATTTCGCGACGGAACAATACCACATATCAGGTTTAAGCATGCCGTTGATCCTCTCGAAATCTCTTTGGAAATATAATTCGAGGAGATATCTCAAATGGTTCTGTGAAACTATTAAAGAAACGAGCTTTTGTTTGTGCCGTAGCTAGCTAGTATGTCTAAATCAATAAATTTTAGCTAGGTATCTGGCCCGTTTCTTGATGTAAATGCAGAATTATTATCGTTGCCGTGAAAATGTCCCCACCCCATGTCAAGTTGTAAGTAGCACATACAAACCATCATAAAAGACTCCAGCTGACCCATAAAAGCCCGCAAATAATCCTTGAAAATGTTCCCATTCATTTTTTTGAACCTCCTAAAGCCCCTGTGATTATTCGCTCAGAACTCAATCCGAACCATCTCCCGTCAAATCAATCTCGATACGTTCGCCTCTCTTTGATCGTTTCTTGGCCTTAGAATCCATGCCAGTTTCCTCTCTTTCCCGCTTAATATTCTTCTCCTCGTTGGACTGGGCTCTATTTCCCTGATGAAGATAAAGTTAGCAGTGGTGCGAGAGGCGATGGATTGGATATACCAGTAAGTTTCCCAAAAACTCCTGAAGCTTGGCCTTCTGGGTTGCATCAAGTTTATCAAGATCAAAAAGTCCTGAAGCACCATTCGAAATTGGAACAGGAGAAGGAGAAGGGGAGGGCTCTGGGGTTCTTTCGAGTATCAAGAGAGACTTGAGTGATTCTGCGACTGTTAGAAACTTCTATGGACTTGCTTTGTGGTGTATCTGACCTCTAGACCTGTATTTGAATCGATATATAGCGACTGGGTTGCCATATCCATCCGGGTAGTTCATTTCCCAAAGAACACTTGATTTTATGGCCTGAGAGGCTCCTAATCTGATACAGATTTAGTCGTTAGAAACCTCCGATAGCCTAGGATTGGAGATGCAGGATGAAGGCTCACGTAGTACTATGAGACGTTGCTTGTCCCTTAAGCGCCTTCTCTTGCACTGATGTTGACGAACCAGCAACTAGCTGCTTGAAAGTGCCACGATTGTGCGATTGCTTCTGTGAAAGAGTTCCTTTACCTCTTCGATAAAATTTTACCACAATCTCTCCAACAACACTCAGTCGGATTGCATCCTCTTTTATAGATGCTAATTTCGAATCATCGGTGCCTTCAAAAAGAGTTAGTAAGAGGGTGCCGAAATCCTTCTAGCGACAACGTCTGATTACTTGTAGTTATATTGCTGAACTTAATTGGCATCAAGATAGTTTCTCCGTTATCCAGCTCACTTTTGACACCTTTGAATCTCTTAGTCCTAAATAGAAGGTCAGTCTGTAGGCATAGGAATCAGAAAGACTTGTAACAACCTGAACCACAAAGAACTCCAGCAGAAAGCTGCTCTTCAAGATTAGGAAACTCACAGAGGAATGTGTTTCTTGCTGCCATGTTTCGAACCAACTCTTATCCCATCAACAAAGACCTCGAAGGAAACATTCGGAGAGTCAAATTTGTATGCTTTGCTTATCTCGAGATTGATGTAGAAAACTTTGCCGGTGGTCGATTCAATATATTTGGAAACCGTTTTGGTAGCTTTACCATATCTTCCAGCCTCTGCAGAAACACAATCAGGCTCATGGTCGTCGTACTCTTGGAGAGCTTGCTTGTCCACGCATACGGTAACTGCGATCCCACGAACGTCCTTGAGGACTGCCATGATCAAGAACAATAAATTTCAAAAGGTGGCAAATTACAAATAAATCGTATCGGGAGTTATTCAATAGCGTTGATGAGTTGAAGTATTGTGATGCGTTGTTTGATTGAAGTGTAAGATTGAGGTTAAGGTTACCTAAAACATAGAAGATGGAACACACATGCGTGGTCTGATTACCCAGTGCATCTACGAGTATTAGTGGAGGAGATAATGGAAAGATGAACGTTCTTTTATAAAATTTTCTCGGTGACTACGGTCAAGGATGATAGTGAACAAAAAGCAAGTCGCGCTGTCACGTGCCGGTACCGAAAGTCAGGCTTTACCGGAAAAATCTCCTGATTCGGCCACTTTTTATATGACAATACCGGATTGTTAGACAAACCCGGAATACGGAGGTCGCGGTCATTTTGGAAGAGATTTTCCCATTTATAGGGGCTTTATAGAGTAGTACCCTGTAATATTCATTAAATAGAGTGAAACAAAAGAGATTAATAATTCAAGCATAGTACATGCCTCTGAATTACTCCTTATTATTATTAATATTGAAGATAACGTTATAAAACTTTCTTTTTTTATAAAACTATATAACTATTCTATTATATTCTTATTTTCTTTATACCTTTTAAATATCCTTCTGAATACTCATTACTTTCCTTTAATTTAATAACTTTTTATATATACCTAGTAATTCTCTCAATTCATTTTTGAATACAATCTTAAGGTATATCATACTAGTACTTTAATCATTACTTTTTTTAACTCTTCTTTTACTATCGCTACCCTCTTTTTAATAGTTTTTATCTTCATTTATTACTATATTAGCTTAATAGTATTAAGATCAAAAGAGTTCCCTAACTATAACAATTTAATAATTTTAAAGAACTTGTATACCTTTTTTTAATAATAGAAAGAGTAAGCGGATGTATTATCTTTTATAATCATAATATTAGAATGTTCTTTTTAATACTCTTTTATAAATAATAAGAATAAAGGTTTTAGAATAACTTACTAATATTAATATTGATGAGTGCCTTCTATATTAGACTTATGAATATATGCTCTTATAGCCTTTATATACTTCTATTTAGACTTTTAATTAGAACGATTATATAATCCAACTCTTTCCATATTCGTTTTCAACTTTTATACCTTTTTATTAATATCATGCCTAATAGTATTCTTAGCTTTTAAGTCAAGATTACTTACTATTTTATTCTTTTTGAATTTATCTTTTTATATATAATAAGGACCTTTCTTGTTATAAAAAAATACACTCTAAAACATAAACTCCTTCCTTCCCTTATATCTCCTTTTAATAATATAATAATAATAAACCTCTAAAGGCTTTCTCTATACCTTTACTTTACCCCTTATTAAAGCAAATTACATATTTATTTTGTTTATAAAATAACCTTTTTTTAATCCTTTAGAGTTCAATTTTAATGTTTTCAAGTTTATTTATATCATTACTCTTTAATATTTTTCTTCAGTTTAGGCTTTATAATAAGTTTAGTTTAATAATAGCCTTTATTCTTCAAGCATTTATATATACTTAAAGTATGAATCTTATTAGCTTCTATAAAATTCAAAAGCTTATTAATCTTATTAATAATAATAGTATAGAAGAACTACTATATAGTTAAATTTTGAATAATAATAGCTTCAATAATATCTTTCATCTTTTTAATAATCTTCTTTTTCTTAGAATCTCAAGTACATCTTTTTTATTCAATATATTCAAGCTTTAATTTATTATCTTGTTTCTCTATATATTCTCTTTTTATAGTTAATTGATGAATTTTAATGATTTTAGATACAAAAATCCTAGCTTCAAAAAGAATAAGAGATTAAAGTCTAATATTAATATCTATATAGAAAGGTTCTTTTGAGAAAGAAGAGGGAGGAGGAGCTTTTAAGGGGGGTAGAATGAGTGTATATTGAAAACGTATAGGTTAAATAATAGTAGAAGAAGGACTTGAAGAATCTGTAGAAGGTAAAGATTTATTAAAAGCTTTAATAAAGACCTCAGATTTCGAAAAGGAATAAGATATAAAAGAGCTTGAATTAGAAACATCGATATTATTATTCGATTTAATACGACATGATATAATTTAGGTATGCTTTTTAAGTAATATAATAATAGTATTAATCCTTCTTCTATACATAAATCCTATATTTCCTTTTATTCTTCGAAATATTCTCAAAATTATCTATTTTAATAATAACTTCCTGTAAGTTCTATACATATAGATGGCTTCTAATGTATTGTGTTTTTATGGGTCTATAAGCCTATAAGCACCCTGTAAAGCACTATATTTTAGTGGGTCAAAACCATGTATCAGTAACAGCGGAGTTTCAGGCTCAAACCCTGTAAAATGCCTATAATCTCTTTCAAAATGACCGCGACCTTCGTATCGAACTATTTTTCGCGAATCCGGTACAAGTTTTGATGGTAGATTTAGCTGAATAAGCTTGATTGGCTACTATCACATGATTTTTTTTTTTTTTCGAAAATTTCGAGATTTGAAGCTAAAATCCAATGTGAATATTGTTTAAAACGCTTAAATTATTATTTTTATAGTGAAATCTTCTTTATACCGGATCTGATTAGTCGAATTTTCCTTTCCGATATAATTAAGTTCTACTATAATTTGAATATCAATTCCGACTAGAATTCGTAGAATTATCTCTCTTTTTATGTCCTACTAATTAAGTATATTAGATAGACTTAATAAGATATATATATAATGTAGCACTTTGCCGTAGAAGAACTACGAGAGCAGGGTACAGTTTATTCTTAGAATCTACAACTATAGAAATCGAGAGTAAAGCGCTCGTGGAGCGCACCTATATACTAGCTATGTACACGTGATCATGCACATGTGCGCATGCGCATGTGAGCGATCGCAGTTGCGATTGAGGTCGATCCGTGACATATAAAGCATATAAGATAAAAAGTAATATAATTTTATCTAACCCCCCCTCTTCGTATACATATATACGGAGTATATAAATAAAGGAAAGCGTGACACCACGTGTCGCGCCTCCAGCAACGTGTTCCAATAGAGTAAGGCCTTTTTTGTCTTTAAAAGTATTGATTAATACTTTTCATTTTTATTGTTTGTATTTAGATTTCGCTATTAAATATATTAAATGAGAGAAAGTAGAGTATGAGTATAGTACGTATGCGAACTCAGGTAAAGAAATTCGAATTTTCCAGCTTATTATCGTTATTTGAATGATTAAATAAGCGAATATAGAAATGACTTTAATGTAGTTTATTGGTATGTGTATTATATCAGTATGTACATTATTATTTTTATATATAAAAAACGGTCGTGCGTAACCATGTACTTTCTCTATTTATTAATATAATTTAATTTTTCTTTATATAACGTAGTTTATCAGTGGGTCGGTTATATCAATGGATCGATTACTTTTATCTCGAATTATTATTTTATATTTAATATGCGTTTTCTTTATAATTAATTATGAAAATTCATTTTAAAGAAACACACATAATCTTAGTTATTCAAGCTATTGAATCAAATAAAAAATTATCAATTTGAAAAGTAGCTCAGTTTTATTATATACCTCGAACTATATTAAATAATAGAATTCGAAGTAAATCTAATATAGCTAAGAGTCAATTAAAAAGTTATAATTTGATTAAATTAAAAAAGAAGATATTTATTCAATATATTCTTAATATAGATTTAAAAAGTTTTCCATTTAAACTCAAGAATATAAAAGATATAGCAAATTATATTCTCGAATTGAAGGATACAAAACATGTTGGGAAGCTTTAGGCATATTGATTCGTAAAGCATCGAATCGAATTAAAGATATATTTTAATTGTATTTATGACTTTTAAAAAGCTCTTTATAAGGATCTCAAGTTTATTAAAGAATAATTTTGATTAGTTATAAATATATAAACGAAATACAGCATTTTAAATAAAGATTTCTATAATTTTAATGAAACAGGCTTTATAATAGGAATTATATGTATAGTAATGATTGTTATTAGTGCTGAGAAATATAGTAGAAGTAAATCTATACAGTCAGGTGTTACAACGGATTAGTAACAGGCTGTAGAATCACCAACGTATAGGCTATAATGGTACTATAAGCCTCGGTGATTCAGCTGCAGTATACCGGGGGACGCTAGGCACCCAGGAGAGCCTCAGGCACGTATATAGTATTAGTCATAGTATACCCTAGAAACATAGGACATAGTTCCCAGGACAATAGGTCCTAGGAAAGACAGAACACAGTAAGCAAGAAGGCTTCACTAGGATTAGTAATGTCCCAGGGGATTAGCCCCAGGACAAAAGAATAAGCTAGGACACCAAGAGTCACGGGATTAGTGTCCCGTGATGGACAGCTCAGGAACGACAGCGCTCCAGGAGCGCCCGGCTGTCCCAGCTGTCCAAGTAGGACGAAGATCTATATAAGGGAATGGGTTTCATTACAATGTAGAGCTTCGTGCTCAAGAACAATCATTAGTTTCATTACTATAGTTACGAGAATTGCAACCAGTTACAACCTTATTGAATTCCTACTTGAAGTCTAGTCTAAACCACCTCGAGAGATCTCTAGACACTTCCACGTGACCCTAGAGGCAGCTCCCGTAACATCAGGCAATCGAGAATGAACTACAGCAATAATATATAGAAATGAAAAGAACGAAATTATTCCCTTATTTTTAATAGTTCAGAAATAGATTTATCTTTTTAATTGATATACTGAAACCAATCTTTTTATAGAATAAACTATTAAACATATATTTAATAAATGAACAAACAATAAGACAGATTTAAAATGATTGAAATACTTTAATAAACATATTAAAAATCAAAGAAAGGGTAAATATCGAATATTGATACTGGATAGGTATAAAAGCTACAAATCAATAGCTTTTTAAATATACTATAAAGAGAATAATATTATATATTTATATTTACTATTACATTTAAGTCATTTAATTCAACTACTTGATATTAACTGTTTTAGTAATCTAAAACATTTATATAGTAATCAAATTAATGGATTTATTAAAACATATATCAATCATATTTCAAAGGTTGAATTCTTTATAACTTTTAAAACTACATACAAGAAATCAATTACCTTTTAGAATATAAAATCAGAATTCCAAGGAATAGGTTTAATTCTATTTAATTCTAAAGCTATACTCTCGAAATTAAATATTCGAATTTATATACCTACCCTTTCCTCTTTCAATCTAAATTAATGAATCTCTCAAACCCCTCATGATCTAATTAAAACTCTTTCTTAATTAATATTAATTAAATCTCGAATAATTCGTTATTAAGCAAATTCCTTTATATCTATATTTAAGATTATATTAGCTTTAGTTAAGGGTATAGAAAGATTAGCTTATAAAAACATACTTTTAAATATAAAGAATTATAAACTTCGAGTAGTAAATAAAGCATTAAGCAAACATTAACATACGAAAAAAACTTAATTACATTAAGGAAGAGTAATTACTGAATAAAAGACTCTTAATATATTATTTCAACAAAAAATTGATATTCAGATTCAATATAATGAGTATCAAAAAGAAGGGAATTTTAATGAGGAAGTATTTTCTAATCAATATTATAGTAAATACAGAAAGACAGGTTATAATATAAGAACCTGTTAAAATAATGTAATAGATCTTAAATTATTAGATTCTTAATAGTTTTAATCAATTGATTTAGTTATTATTAAATAATATAGCTTTGAAGTGATAATTCGAGGTAAAAGTGGTCGATCTACTAATATAACCGATCCACTGATAAACTACGTTATATTATATTTATTTATATAAATAATATAAAAATGAATTAAAATAATAAAATCTTATAATAACAAAAAAGTTATTTAAAGAAATAGATTTTTATAATGCAAAGTATAACATTCTTAAGCTACAATTGAGATATCTATAAAAAAAATCAAATTTTATAAATATTTTATTTTTATTATTTACAAGGAAACTTTTCAAAGAAAAAATAATGATTAATGGTTTAAATAAAAATATTAATAAAAGATTAATTTTGAAGTATTTTGAAGTGGTGCATATACTGATATAGTGTACATGCTAATAAAATATGTTATTCAATCGAAATGAAAATTAATATATAATTATAAACTCTCACTTGAAGAGCGCTTAAAGCTTTAGATTATATAACCTATAATAGTCTATTTAAGAAGCGGATTATTTAATAATAAATGATATATATCTTTTCTAGATAGTATTTTCAATTTATTTTTATATAAATAATTAGATTATTTAATGAAATATTTAATAAAGTTCTTGAAAGCCAGGTTTTAGTTTTTTGAAGTTCATTATTAAAATAAAGAATAACTCGATAGATTCGAATCAGATTCATATATTCAAATTCTTTTTAAATTCATTTATTCTACATCATGTTAATCACATTATCTTCTCGAATTTGTATGAATCTTGAAATAACCATGCTCAACTTGTTCTCCTGAACCACAGCAGCATTCCGGAGAGATCCAGAAAAGTTGAGGATATCGGAACATTCTGACTTGATAAAGAATTTACGGCCAAAACGGACGTCAAAGATGTACCGAATAAACATAACTTTTGACGTAATGTATACTGTAAGTGAGTTTGCTATGAATATATAAGTATTTGACTAACAATTTCCACAGATTGTTTGTTGACGTCTCATGAATCGGTGGCGGTGAGCTTAAGCTCTCCAAATGTGATTCTTGGACTCACTCTACCCTATGGATACCGAATCCTTATGCTATGCCTGCAGTTTTAGTCCTGCAAGGGCGACATGCTCACAGGCTTAGACTAGTGCACCTCGATGTCGGTAGTCAAAATAGTCTTGCCCTGTCTGGTTAATGTATTGGCCGCCTAGGTATGTCTAAGGCTGACGCATTCATGAATTCCTAGAATCTGTTGCCACAAACTTGACGCTTGAAAGGTTTAAGTTCGAAGTCTATTGTTAATCTTCCGAGCCTTTAACTTTGAACTCTATTGTAAATATTCCGAGTGCTCGACCTTTATCAAGCCTTATATTGAATCCGTACAAGGCTTCATGTTTCCCCCGCCTATAAAATACTACCCTACATACTAATATCATCATTTTCGAATTGAACACTTGCTTCATATCTCGACTACCTTCACATCTCTTCTTTATAAGCCATTTAAAATCTCGATAGGCTTCAAAATCGCTTTCGCCCCTTTTGCCAAGCCATGTCGAAATTTACTGGCGCTTTCAGATCTTCTCTCTCGAGGTTTCCTAGCCTAGCGATCTTCTCCATTGACTCGAATCATGGCATGAAGAAAACAACATCGCGGCATTGAACGATAGCATCGGCTCGGGTCGCACTGATCGGAATTTTGCAATCACTTAACAGATCCAACACAAAGATCAGGTCAGTAGCTCTTATAGTCTCGGCCACCATTACAGAAAAAATCACAATGGAGAAAATGGCCGTGCCTGGTTTTCTGTAGCTCTGGCGGACATCCAGAAATGCACTGCGCACTGAGCGTCTTCCTCTGTGGCTTGATCTAATTTTCGGACGATCAGCAACTAGCAAGCCGGGGCTTGACGTATGTTTTCTCCTGCATGTCAGTAGTTCTTAATTTGATGGCCTTGGATTGACGGATCGCCTGCTTGTTCTTTATATCATGGAGAATTTCGCCTGCCAGGTCGGTGGAACTTCCATGACTGGCCCTATGACCGTAACGTGGAACCCAGCAGTCAATCCCGAGACATCTATTCGTCTATTGATGAATGACATTAATGTGCTATCTATAATGCCTATGTCCGAAAAAGCGCGAAATATAAATTTAATATCTATATGTGCGGACGGCCCTTCAATCTTCTGACCCTGGACGCACAACAGAAAATCCACATCACTACTGTAATCTCATCTCTACCCCCCGAGATACATTACAAATCATAAAATACACAGTTCCCTAGAAACTCCATCACGGCACGAGACATCAATGTAAACGGAAGATAATAAAATATATCATTATAAAAAAAAAGGTATAAATCCGAGCTCTCTAGATCTAATTCCTATTTTCCATCTTGCATTATCTATTCATTTCTTTTCTACGCTAATCTCGGAATCTCAATGAAAGTAGAGGTATTTATATAAACAAATCCATCCGTTAATCGTGGAATGATATGATATAATGAACTAGAAACCCAAACATGAAATACAACGAGGAGAACTCCCGTCCGCTGATTTGTGTTTACAACACCTTGGTCATCGCGTACTCAATCCAATATCTTTCATTCTCCCATAGGACATAATTTCCCATTTCTATAAGCGTTAACTTCTATGATTCTTCTCTTTTCTTCAACAACCATTCGAAGCTCCACCACTCCCCACCATCCCAACATTCGTCCCTACAGCTAAACCATTTAGAATCCCCAAATAATCTAACTCACCCGCTATATAATTCTCCTCGAAACTGTCAATCAATGCATTTCCATTTCCTCGACCATCCCCATCAAACTCCATTCCCGCCCCCATCCCCACATATCCTCCCATACCCCCTTCCTCTCTCACTCCACCTATCCCCGGTACCACCCGTTTACTCCCTTCTCTCCCCGCGCCATTCGCAAAAACCCCTCTAGCGATAGCCTTTAATTCTCTCTCTGTGCCTCTCGCACCCTCCCAAACTCCCGCCAATACCTTCGTAGCGCCCAATCCCAATCTAATCCTATCCCTAGCCATCTTCCACTCACTCGACCTTTCAAAATTCCCTCCTCTTTCTCTGTCATCTCTATTATTATACACATAAGCACAAGCACTAAGATTTGCAAGTGTTGCTTTTGTAATCCCACAAATACCGAGAGGTGTGTGCGATAATATTGGACTAGGGAGTGCATAGAGATTCATGGCTGTTTGGGCTGCCTCGATGGTTTTCTTCGTGTGGAGCCAGCGGGTGAGATTTTCATTGCCGGTTGGTGGAGAGGTAGGTGGTGGTGGTGCGCAACGGGAGATTTTCTCGAGCGGCGAGTGGTAGAGACAAGATAGTGGACGGTGGATAACTACTAGAAGTCTGCATTACTTGTTAAAATCGTGCGTTCGCATATAATCAATTGGTGAAAGGAGTTTACTGGAAGTGAAATCAACATACGTCTGCAGTAAATTTTGTGCTTGAAACAACAACTCATCGACTTCCTCATACTTATCCACTACCCCTTGTTTCTCCACCGGTAAATGGAGCTTCCAATTCACAAGCATAGTATCGGCATTTGTAACAGCAGGCTCTAGATTTTTGCCTGTGATATCATTGATGCTAAGAATTGTACCAATGATTCGAACGAGGTCAATGAGGTATGTAAAAGATGAGAAGACTGGGATCTCGTCTTCAAAATCACGGGAGTCATAATCTGAGAGAGTGCGAGGTCGAGGAATACGCTTAGAGAAGTTTAGAATCTTCAATCGTCACAAGTGTACTAGACGTTATTAAAAAAAAATTTGAATGACTTACTCCGCTCTCATATTCGTAGTCCTCGCAGGGCAGATCTACGTGTGTGCCAATTGCGGATAAGCTAGAATGAGTCAGTATATAATCTGACTGTTGTAAACCTCCTTTTATGGCACTCACATAAAACTGGATGCACAAGCAATGCCAGAAAACACTCCATCAAGAACGTACAGTCCCCAAAAGGTCCTCCTCCAGCTCTCAGCCAATACTGGGTCTCTTTCCATTGCAGCAAAAGCTCGATGATTCATACCGAGCTTTAACGCCATGCATATATTTCTATCCAAAATAGCACGTGCTTGTTGTCTTTCGTCTTCGGCATGGACAGCAATGGCAAGTAGAAGTAGAGTTTGAACGCTAAAGCCATTTTGTGGTAAATTGGCTAGATCTAATTGGCTGACAGCTATAGCCCTCAACTCTGATGATGGCAAATCAGGTGCATATAGCGATCCGATATATCGCATTGCTGACATGAGGTTATTCAAAGAGTCTGGGTCGGATTCTAGCCTACTCAAAAAATGAGATTTTGGCATAATATATGGATGGGATTTATGAAAGAAACTATCGATCCGTCAGTGATGGCAATTAAAGCAAATCTAGGTTGACAGACTTGTAATAAAGATCAATCAGCCTTTCTGAGTCCGTGGGCTTAACACTGTTCAATCTGGATGAAGAGCTACTAGGGCTCGGTGATGCATCAGAAACTGCTCCAGTCCACGATTCACTAGATGAGTTCCCAGCATGACCCCCTACTGAAGTAGAATATCCTGCTTGATCTTTTACCATATACCGATCTTTAAGATGCTCTTTTGCCGAATTTTTTATTCTGGTAGCATTCTTATCTCTCATGCCTCTTCTTGACTTTGCATAGAAGCACGGCTTGTCGTCTTGCTGACAACGACTGCATGAAGGCATTTCTGCTCCGCATTTTACGTGACGACTTCGACACTGTTCAGTTGTTAGTATATATGACAGCAACTAATGACTCAAATATAATACCGGTACACATGCTAACGAGACCCTAATACCACCTCTAGACTCGCGGCTCTGAGTTGTCGTTTGATGTTGATTCTGGACTTCTTGAAGCGGCTTTCCATAATCAAAGAGCATTGAGAGTGGATCTTCTAGGACTCTCGGGGATGGAAATTGGGATCTAAACCCCTCGGCATCCATGACGTCTGGCAATGGGGTGAATAAACAGATGTTCGAATTTTCGTGTAACTTTAATAACGCTCTACACTTTGAGAAATGATAATGTTATATCGAACTGCACCAGTCATACAACATGCAAATCGTAATATGGTACGCTGTTCAAGTGTTGACAGCTAGTGTGGCAAGCTGATGATTCTGATAGCTAGACCATGAGGTAGTCTTGAGATGATCTCATAGTTATGAAGGATTGGTTATGTATAAATGTAATCTGCGATATTTAGTAAACCCTTGCTCTATTTCCTTGTCTAGAAGTAAGCTTCTCTAAAAGTCAGCAGAGCGAAGCTCATGTCAGCAAGTAGTTTGAGAAATCGGATGGATCAAAATCACGCAAGGAAACTAAAAGAAATACCATCAATAGTTCATTGGTGGTTCTGAGCTTGGTACATTGCATTGAGATGCAAGCCACCATTGGCGATTGGCTAGACGTAGTGATTGCTTCCGCCATTGCTCCACAAGCCAATTGGTTCAACTCTTGTCATTCCGCCATGCATAAAACATGCAGTATATCACCCAAAGGGATTTGAAGGGAACATTAAAACCCGTTGTACGGTAGAAGATCCGGAGATAACTTTGGTATCCCACGGTCGCGATCACCGCTCTGGGTAGTCATGAGTCCATTCTTCTATCGTTCGATTGATACACACGCACCAATTATGATACAGCTCTACAGAAATTGAAGTCCTGGGATGAACTTGATTAGGGGCACCGTTTTCGATTTATAGCAGTAATATCTTTTTCCGCGGAAGAAGATTGCAGGAAGTGGGCTAATGACCATTTATTCCGACGATATATCTAATGGAATGAGCTGTAGCGTTGGTATACCAAATTTTGGCCTCTCTTCAGGCTGCTTAAAATGTAGAAAATAACATCTCGTAAATCTAAGCATGACTAGAATGACGTCCGAGTGTCTAAGCCACTTGAAGCACCGGAAGATGCACCACTTGGCTGGCCAGTAACTATAAAAAGAACTCCTCTCGGAAGGATTCTTCAGCCTTCAGCCTTGTGGAAAACTCGAAGGCGGGGCCGCTGGAAGATTCCAAGGATGCTATGCATGACATCTGAACTGTAAACTCAGTCGAAGTTTCACTATCCACCCGAGACTTCTTCGAATGCAAATTTAGAGATATCAAGTTTTAAGACTACTAAAAGAAAAGTGGGAGAAGAAAAAGCAGGCAGCAATGCTACAAGCGGTGAAATGTCCTCTGAGAAATGTCAGCACATTGCATGTAATGCAGGAATATTGGCAAAGTTTGTAGAACAAAGATTCGTTGAAGAACGAGATGCACTTTAACAGAGCGGGAAACGAGTCACTTTGGAAAAGGTAAAACATTGCCAGGGAAGAAATTCCACCAAATGGGAATATAACGAGATGTGTAAGATCTTACCTGACGAATTCTTACAAATTTGCGAGTTTCTTCTTGGGACTGGACTATGTTCTTGAGGATGAAGTGTATGGTAGAACGTTAATGCCGGTATGTGGCTACTTGTGCAACGGTCAGCTTACACTTTTGTATTTTACTAATCGATTTTGCAATTTGTAATGATCCCAAAATTGGTCAAAAGACTGGTGATCCATGACGACGGTGATCCCCGACTCAAGCTTTGGAAACTGTGAAGGAAGAACATAACAGAAGCCCTAAAGAGCCTTGACGCCAATGAGATTAGACAAGCTTATACATATCAGAGCTGCGCACTCCTTTTATAGGACTTGAAAGATTGAAGCTGAGAAGATCTTCGACACTGGCCGTTATTATTCTAGCAAGAAGAAAAATGCCAAATAATTGAGGTATAAAAACCATTTTGAAACGGCAACGAGTACAAATGAGCGAACTGAATACTTCAATGGGCGCACAGTGAGTATGTATATGTAAATACAAGCGTACGCGTTCATGTGCATAAGTAATTGACACAGATTACCTGGTAGTAACACAGCATCGCACACTGCTGACAGTAATTCGGAAGAAGATATCCAGACAGACAAAACCTGTGATGATGGCTATTAATGTTAAGAAGAGAAACGAAACACTTCTCAAATTCCAAGTTGCCGTGACATAAAATGACTAATGTGGTAAAGTTCTAGAAATCCATAATAGCTTCCGACGCTAATCTACATTTTACATTAGCGCATTGATCCCAAAACGGAAGGACGAAGACTAACCTCGGTATCTACGTCAACACAAGCTTCCATTCTCACAATTCCACATTGCATGTCATACCTTCTTCCAAATCAGTGAATTAACTTCTCAAGACCATTATATATACAAAATATATATACGCCATTCAATGCCCTCTCGATGACATCCAACGATTTTATCCTCGCCCAACAGCGCCTTGCCGCTCGTCGTCAAGCTCGCGAAGTAGCAGCCCAAACCCATCTCAATCGACGACGTAACACCGCCATCTCCCAACGAGTTTCTTCTCTCCCTTTTCCCTTTTCTCGATTGGGAACTGCAGGTCTTACAACATGGGATACGATTTCTGGACGCGAAGGAACTCGTCCTGCTTTTCGAGTCGGTCAAGTCGATGCAGAGTTATTGGATGAAGAATTATTAGACCTATTGAAAGGGCAAGTGGGAGAAGGCTTAAAATATTTCGGTTCTCATATACAGGATGATTGGTCTGCGGAAATAATGTTGGCTTTGAGAGCTATTCTTTTTAAACTCAGTATATGGGATCATGATGCTACGTACGGGGCTACATTGCAGAATTTGAAATTCACAGATGCGCGACATTCCGGACCTGTTCTGGTATCTCCATCGAAATGGCAGAAGAGTTTATATGGTCTCTTCACTGTAGGCGGCAAGTACGCGTGGACACGTTGGGAAAATTACCTAGTCGATTCAGACAATGGGTATAGCACCCCCTCACCCCTTATGAGTCGACTTTCCCGCATCACAGACCTCTTGACAAATGTTCACTCCACCGCCGCTTTCGCATCCTTTCTCGTATTTCTCGTGAATGGCAGATATCGTACTTTACTCGATCGAATCCTAGGACTCCGATTAGCACCCCCAACAAGCCAAGTCAGCCGGGAAGTATCGTTCGAATATCTCAATCGCCAACTTGTATGGCACGCATTCACCGAATTTCTTCTTTTCGTCCTCCCCCTGGTCGGCATTTCTCGCTGGAGACGCTTACTCTCCCGTGCTTGGAGACGTACGAAATCAGTTTTTAACACATCATCTCCTGATGATCTTTCCATTAATGAAAAGAAAGGCGAACTTTCTTTCCTACCCGAACGTACTTGTGCTATCTGTTACCATGATCAAAATGCGCTGCAAGCAACAGAAGAAGGCGTTATGGCAGCAGCAGCTAGTACCGGTGTAATCGGGAGTGCGCAAACGGACATCACAAATCCATACGAGACGGTAGAATGCGGATGTATATATTGTTTCGTATGCATAGCCAGTAGATTGGAAGCAGAGGAGGGAGAAGGATGGACATGTTTAAGATGTGGAGAGGAAGTCAAGGGATGTAGAGCTTGGAGTGGAGATGTTGTTATTGAAGCACCAGTCCCAGCTCCAGCGCCCATCGTGGAAAAAGAACAACTTTCCAAGCCGAGAAAAAGTGTGGAATTCCAAGATGATAGGATGAAAATTGTAGATCCAAAATCGGAAGATGGAGACTCATCGGATCATGAATCACAATTGGGTCAAGAGGAAGCATATGATGAAGAAGAAGATCAAGGGTTGGAGGAATATGAGGATGAAGCTGAGTAATGTGCTTTTGAGTTTGGACAGGTCGAGATATAAAATTAATGTTGCGGTTTGTAGATGGAGATGGAGATGAAGATGTCGTTTTGTGAGGTTTGCGGTTCGCGGTTCGCTTGATTGATTGATTGATTAATTGATACCAGTAGGGATGATATGGATGGTGTAATCTTGGAGTTTGGGGGTATGGATGGGGAAAATAATGGGTTCGGTGGGTTGGGCTGAGTTGGGCTAGGAAGAGATGAGATGCGGCGGGATGGGATGATGAGACAAAGTTATAGAATATCTTTAATGAGTGGATTTATATCGCAATTCACACCATACCGTCTGCACATCCGAGATGGAAGTTACATGCAGGTCATCCATCTTCTATTCTTAGTAAATTAATATGAATGTCATGAACTAAATTCCTCTCTATATAACGTAAATCTAGTCCATGTACTCTCATCTCATCTGCTCGCTCTTTAAGATGTATCATCTCATCTCATTTCATCTACAGTAGTACGCCTGAACATAAATATGAATATGAATGAATATAATCATGGGTATCGCTCTGCCTCCCTCCCCATTTCTCCCAAAACGCCTAATTGAATAAGTATCCGTTTCCCGAGGCCGTGGTGTTTTCGTTTCCGTTGGTAGAGGTAGATGGGTAGATAGTGTCTCCCATCCATCCATCCGCATATTACTCCTACTTGATTGTATCATAAGCAGGAACCACACATCGTGACGTATATCCATCTCGCGTAACCTGCGTATCCTGCCTGAATCATCACGGGCTACTCACTCGGGTATCCTTTAGCTTTCTGAATTCTTCGCGTTCTTTCATCTTAATCTGAGAATTTCCATCTCGCTCCTTCCCCTCACACCTCTGCATCTCCACGTCCGCAATCTGCACTTCCCCCACCTTCGCAAACTTTCCCCTCCTCCCCCCTCTCGTCTCCGTCACCCACACTCTCACACTAACCGCTCCCTTCACCACCGCAAAAATCAGACAAATCCCCACCGCAATCCCAAACACATACGCCGCCACCATTCCATGCTGCGCGACCTTTGGATTCAAAAACGAATACACATATTGATGTTTCGTCGCCACAGTTACATACGCCAACCCCAGATAACACGCCAGGATGACGATCAACCAGAGGAGATGAATCCCAGGCGGGGGCGCGGTCCGCGGGATTGCGATTTCGAAAATGGCAAAGAGGGAATTGAGGCCGTGTTCGGAAATGTTGGACCAGGCGTCGAAAGGGGTGGGGAACCAACCTACGGGGACGGACACGCGGAATATCACGCCCCAGAATACGATGGTGACGAGGATGGGGTAGCAGATGATGGTGCTGTAGTAGAGGGAGTGCAGGGCTTGGAGGGGACGCGGAAAGTGAGTGAGCAGCGGGATGCCGCTGCGCGCGTAGGTGAAGGTGTGCAGGGCGGCGAAGAGGAAGTAGAAGGATATGCCCCAGTAGCAGAGGACTGTGGGGGGTCAGTATGGATTTTGGATTTTGGATTTTGGGGGGTAGGGGGTGAGAGGGGGGGAGGGGACGTACTGGTGAAGTAAGAGAAGCTGAATCGGGCGGTTGCGTCTCCGTTGGGTAGTTTAGCTATTTCCCAGAAGATGGCGAAGAGAAGGACGAAAAATGCATAGAGCGACTAGATTGAAAGCGTGAATTAGTTATGGTAATTTAGCTCAAAGTTATACATTACTTTATTTTATTTTACTATCCCTTCCTTCTCTCTCTCTCTCTCTCTCTCTTTTTGATTTAGAATAAGAACAAGTAACTTACAATCGCAGCTCTCACAGCAAAAAGCGCCCACGGAGACAACAACCACGAAGTAACAAACCGATGACTCGGGTCCCAAACACCGTCACCAAATTTGAATACTTGCAGTTTGTTGGTCGTCATGATGATTGATTGGTGAATGGATAAATAAACGATAACTCGTAAATAACGAGATGACAGGGGATGATTCGGTCGTAAGTAAGCAAGACTATCAGCTCTGCACGTCTCGATACAATATATACGATATATAACCAGCAGAAATCCCGCTCGCGTATCGGAACACAATATATGTATGTGTCTAGTATGTAAGTAAGTAGGTATGTCTACTCAACAATACCAGAAAAATCTTCTCTTTCTCTTTCCCTATCTCTCAAATAATCAAATCAATTAATCCCACAACCCTCTTAACGTTATGAAAAAAAAGAATTATAAAAAATATTCTAAAAAATCCGCGTCCTTTTTTTCTCAATTCAAATTTCCAAAAAAAAAAGTAAAATTCCATTCGATCTTCAAGACATAGATATTCGCGAAATGTATGCGGTGATGAATTTTGTTTCGGAAACCCCTGCAGTAAAGGTACGGATTGATAAAATTCGGGGTTGGAGCGCCTACTTTTAATCCCTGTGTGCGTGACGAGATAGGTATTCAATGCCGATGATAGTGGAGATGTGCCGGTGGAATTTAAGATTGGGGTGGAAATGCTTTTTTGGTATGTGCCAACTGCCAAGGTAGAAGTGCAGATGGAGTACCTAAGTAAGTAGGTAGGTAGGTAGGTAGGTAGGTATTAGACGAAATATCGATGTGAGATATTGGAAGATGGTTCGTTTGGTTTGTTAAATTGTTGAATTGTGGACTTTGTGAATATTTTTTGGTCATGGATATATGTAATGAAAGAAATGAGATGGAAAGGGATTTTTAAGTGTAGTTTTCAAAGTTGGTACTATATTAGATTTACTAAACTAAAACTCCTAGTAGTTATCTTCCAAGGTTGGTTTAAGAAAGTATAATTCGATTATGTCACTTCACATGCACACAGCTGGTGTATGTTCCCCATACTATAGCTCAGCTACCTATCTTGATGCCCGCAATTATGATATCTAGACCGGTGTTCTCTATTCCACAGCTATAGGATGAGATAGCATCAGTTCCAAGTACTCATAGGTAGATAATCAGTGCGATTTGATATCGTATCGTGTTAAATGGATATTCGGTCTTTTTTTAGACTATGGAGTGAAGATTTTCCAATAGTTTGAATCGTTGAGAATAGTTCGAGAATTTTACCTCTCTTCCGACATTCTTCCCCATTTGAAGCATTGAATAAGGATGGCTCTAGGAAATACTAGGAAAAGAAAAACTGAAGTCCCACTTACCAAACGTCTAGAGTGCAAAAGTTGACACATCAGACTATCAGGCTAAGGTATTGACATTGATGTCGTTTGATATTTCGAAGTCCAGATTGCATTGCTTCCAAGTACCGTAAACAGGGAGTATTTCTGTTAAATCTCATCTTGCCTTGTCATCAAGAGAGCGCATTCTTCTCCGCATTAAGATATTCTTATGTAGAAATGGCTTTGTATCTTTCGCACTGGCTAGGATGAAGCCAAAGGTTCGGAGATGAATATGATAAGTCGAAGAAGGTCGACCTCGACGAGAATATGTGGGGGGCACGAAGCTCTTCATGACGGCCAGAGAGATCTCAAATACATCCGTCCACTAGCTTTCCATGAAGAGCTTCGTGAAAGAATCCCACAATTTTCTTTTCTCCTCAAATTACGCCAATAGCTCAAGCAAGTATTGAGCTTGAAATGTGGGATTTTGGGGCCACAATAGCCTTAAGTATCCCACGACGTGAACTTTCATATATTGATAAGTTGACGGAGCTCCTGATGTCCATATCATTCTGCTTCAATTTGACTTATTCCGTGTAACAAGTTGTGGATAGTGGTCAAGCGGTATTCTATCGGCCTCGAAATGCAAGACATGGTCGATATTTGGCCCGTGATTCCCATGACTGACTGCCCTTCAAATCTAGTTCTCGCCAACCCCAGCCCAATATCTTCGGAGAATAGATTTTTATATGTCTTGTTTCTCCTGCGCAATATTGAAGGCTCAATTCATTGCCGAGATGAAAGCAAGTCCATAGATCTTTCAATATCCGAAATTTAATTGAACGTCAATATCGACCGATAGATGATATTCGAATTTTTTTGGAATGAGTTCTAATCAACCGTGTCAGTAACTGAAGCCGAATAAGGGGCAGATTACTGTTCACTTTTTTGTATCATCTCCGAGGGGCGATAATCATTAGGATTCTTGCTGACTGGCTATGATTATGAATTTCTAAAAGGTTAATGAGCATATCCACGACATTACTTTGGAAAGTCCATGTGAAATGAACCATATGAAGGATTTAATGAGACTTGCTATGCCTCGTGCAAGTAACTCTGGTTTCTCTCCGGTTCAAGACAGGCAGATTCGAAGTCAAGCATTGAAAAACGAATTGGATCTTGAGATACGACCTTCCTTTTCATCCTCTTCCGACTCGTGCTATGTGTCCAAGTTTTTGACGACTAGACACTCGGTAAAGGTTGTAAATTCTCAAAGGGGTCATGCCAGTGATGTTAGATAGAAATCCGCATGGGTCTTCATCCCAATCGAGTAACCTATCAAGGATGCTGTCCGGGGGATCATCCAAATTGGGATGTCTGTGAATGGTCTGTGTGTGCATGAATTTTCGATGTAGTGGAGACTTAAAGATATCAGTCACAAAAGCTTATGGTAGAGTAGGATTCAGCGCCTCCTATCTCTTGTCATGCATTTATGTGAGTCGACCTCGGCAAGTGATGGATATTCGTGGTAAGGATGTCATGGGTAAATGAGGTTTGGATGAGTGGATGAACCTCGAATATTCCCATGAATAATGGACATCTGAGAGTACGTACGCCATAACACTAAGAGGGAAGAACGATGTATTTCGTATCCTGGCCTCCGTCTCCTCTCCGCGATTTTCAATGATCTACGTACACGTGCAATATAGAGTCGCGAATTGTGTATGTGCCTAGGTCGTAAGAGCTAGACTCCGTGCATAACAAGGAAAGAGTAAGAAAGAAACGATGTGGCATGTGGCTTACCCGTGAGCGTTTGTCTCTCCCAAAGAAAGCAACTTCTCCTCATCTCCTCCAATAGACTCTCTGTCAATGCTGAATTGAGCACGTTAACCCATCAGCTTCTCCACCGAAACATAAGCCGGAATCTCTTGAGAACGCGCCATGCAGATTTCGTGTGGTGGGCATTGGACAATTCAATGCAAAGTGGGAGACAAGACAAGATAGATGGGGCGATGGGCCATGGGCCATGGGCCATGAGCCATGAACATGATCCAAAACTCTAATTTCATTTCAATCTCTCCTTCCTTCAGTCGATGTGTGTGTCGATGTGTCGATGAGCACGTAGATGCGATCAAGTCTACATACAGTATAGAAGAGATCCGCTATGTCGTAGATAAATTGTAAAACTCATGGATTCATAGATGATTTGTATAAATGAAGAGGCCTAGGTATTATTGAAGGTATGTGCGAAGTAGATATTATGGGTCGAAACATTTGTAGTATCCAAGGGAAGAAGAGACCGGACAGGAGCCAATTGCCAAGTCGTTTACCCAGGGGAACCGTTGAAAATTGATGGCAAATGATTTCCTCACTATATCGTATACGTTGATAGGAAAATCAATTTATTGATTTTGATATTATTACCTTCCTCCCCCCCCCGGTCAAGCAAACTCAATCATTCGAGAATTTCGCATTCAAACGGTTTATGTCCCTAATCAATCCACAGATCTACATCATGGTTTAATCAATTGGAAAATAAGAGAAAATGGAAAATGGAATATAAGAAATAGGAAATGGAAAATGGAAAATAGAAAATAGAAAATAGAAAATAGAAAATAGTTATGAATTTGATAATAAACACAACATCTAGGTTCTTCTCCTTCTCTTCCTCTCCCCCTCCTTCTCTCCCCCCTCCAAGATCTACTTCTTGTAACTATGTACGGGAGTATTATCACATAGTGAAGAGTGCTTCGTCCTGCACCAGTAAAATTACTTCATTCAAGCTTTCCTTTTTCTCACAAGCTTCTTTACTTTTTTTAATCTATCCACCCTGTCATCACCATCACCCGCCTCTCTTATCCCACCTTGTGAAAAGAGATACTCTATGCTCTATACGCGGTACCGGTCCCAGGACGACAAATACAACAACATCCACCACCCACCATTTACCATTTACCATTTACCATCTCATCCAACCATCCAACCATCCATCCATTCATCCATCCACTAGTCCTCAAATTTTACATTCCTTGCTCTTTTCCCTTCTTGTGCTATTCCCAATTATCCCAATTACTTCGTACATGGTGTATTTTGTTTTGATTAGCAACATCAAGACTTGAAACGAAAAACCTCCGCAATCAAAGTCGATCTCATCCCGCGCATGGTCCCCTTGACTTGAAATAAACAGTGGAAGGATGAACCCAAATTCGAACTAAAATCTTCTTCGCTTCCCTCCAAAGCCTTGTGCGATTATCATCCATAGCCTTTCCGTTTCCCACCCGTTTCTCGACGCTACTGCAACAAGTAGACAGTGGACTCTGTGACACAGACACCTCCTCGGTGGACGAGGGACCATTTGTAGGGGGGAGGGTAGACTAGAGTACGACTGATTTGGATTGTTCACAACGGAGGAAAGCTGCCCTTTCTCTATCTGCCTTGTCTTGGACATACCGGAAATTTTGGATCATTCGTGCCATCCGAATTGTGGACTTCTAGAAGCGCTGTTGTACACCATCAGTGGTGCGCACTGCATCAAAAGTATATTACCTCATCTACAATACCGTGAATACCAAGAATCCGGTCAATAGTCACATGCAGCTAAGAGGCGCTCGCTACGTTCAATCAATCCATGTAGGACTATCAATTCTTGCATAAGTCTTCAAGTAGGCAGGCTGCGGCAATCATGGCCTTTTACGACTCTTCTTCTGATCAAGACGTCGGTTTTCCGATAATTCTCGAACCTGATGATGATTCACTCTTCGAAATGCGATTAGACGATACGAGGTTAAATAACGATACAATGAAGGAAGTGCATCATGTCAAAGAAGTCAAGAAAGTCAACGAAGTTGCAAAAAATGCCATGGTACCAAAACATCCAATAAGTTCCATGCAAGGTGCTTTTGCAGAGTCGATGCAAGAGGCTAGCGACACAGCTCGAACAGCACCCAAAATCGGCGACGCGGCGACCCGACGAAAGATCTTAATTGAACAAGATGTTTCCGAAGATACACATGCTTTGCGATGGCAGAGGCAACCAGGTCAAAAATATCATGAGTTGTGGAAATTGATGGCTCAGATATCCTTTGGAATATATCTACTCCTCAATGGAATCGCCCGAGATGAAGAACAGGTCATGTCAATATTACAGGGACATGTGAATGAGGTAGATGGGTTTTTAGAGATGACGCTGGAGGATTTCGACCTGGCACAAAGTGATATCGAGGAGAGATTAAAGCATCTGAAACTTCCCTTACAAAATCTCGCCATTTTCGATTCTATGTTGGCAGATCGAGCTTTTAGGTCCCAAATTGTCAGTGGCAATGAACGTATCGAGCACGTTATCGTACGTACCGCGGCAGCTATGAAGGATACTATTCTCGATGCGCAGCAAGGAATGGATGCTTGTAGGGAATTCACAAAATATTTGGCAGGGCAGAAAGACAACCGGTCATGGCAAAAACGACGACCCAACATGGAGAGAGTCTTTGATGCAATGTGTGGAAATGTAGAAGGTTGGCATAAGGCTTTTGTCTCGTTACAAACCAAAGGTGATCATCTAGGGGTTTCTCTCGGCCAATTGGGAAGTATCGTGGCGGAAATGGATCGCAGAGCCGGCAGGATAAGTCGGGAGTCAAGAGTAAGCTCGCAAAGTCAATCATGTCATTCTTGGTTAACAATAAGTAGTTCAGTAATTTGTCTCCTACACAAGCACCGGCTGCTCCAGTATCTCGCAATCTTCGAGCTTCCATGATAAAAGAGCTGCCCAGCGATCCGAATCCTACAACTTCAGCAATTCCAACTATATTACCAGCAATTGCCTTGGTGCAAGACCGGGAACAAACTCCAGAGCCAGAGTCGGAACCGGAGTCGGAACCAGAACAAGAGCCAGAACCTGAGAGTGAATCCGAACCTGAACCAAAACCTGAACTATTATATACTCTCAAACCTATCACATATTCACCTCTTCTTCTTCCAACAACATATTCTCCAATTCTTGCTCCAACGATCTACTCCCCAGTCCCTCCCGCAACGACACCAATCGTTACTACGACCACACCAGTCCTTCCCGCCACCACTTATTCCCCGCTTCTCCCAACAACGACTTATTCTCCGATGCTTCCTCCAACAACTTATTCCCCATTACTTTTGCCGACTACCTATTCCCCAAATCCATCCCCCAAACCTTCACCGAAGCCCTCGCCCAAGCCTTCGATCAACACCTCGCCCAAAACTTCTCCGGAAACTTCTCCGAGAAAAGAAGTTCAAAAAGAATTTGTCCTCCAATCCGCCCCGGAAGGCAAGAGAAAACCATCTCTTCGAAAGCGCTTTTCTTTCAAGAATAAGGAAACCGAAATCGATACCGATACTTTGAAACCCCCTCCAAAATTACTCTCCGCCCCACGAATTACTTCGGTTGCGGAATCAGTGGTAGATCCATATCTATATTTAAAGCCAAATACGGTGGTTCGTCCCCGTGAACGATCGGAGCAGCGTCGTATTGAGCCTTTGGATCTATCAGCTGATAGAGAGGAGCGTCAAAGAGAAAAACAACTTAGAGAGGAGCGCAGCCGAGAACGTATCAGGGAAGAGCGTCGTAGGGAAGAACGTAGAGAAGAACGTAGCAGGGAGTCAAACAGAGAGGAGCGAAGACACAGAAGTGAGAAGAGCAGAGATCGTGACAATGAAAACCGCAAAAGAGAAGAGCGTAAAGGGTCAGGACCTTTAAGCATTCCTAGACACCCGGAACTAGCAAAAGATACACCTCCATCTCGTGGAGTTGATTCAGCATACTGTTCCGAGTCGGATCCTCCAATTGCGATTCGTTCGATACAAGAACACCTCCCATCACCAGCATTTCAATCTCCTTCTTCGGCAACCTCAGCGCCGGTGTTTACAAGTCGCGAACGTGAGATCCCGCCACCCATTTTAACAAGAGATTTCATCCCATCCCCTCACTCTGAAAAACAATTCTTTCGTCCCGTCAACGCATCTCCACATTCACCATTGCAAAGACCATGGACTGCAGCCCCGATGCATCATCACGAGCGCGTACCAAGTGGGCTATCGAGATCGATGGCACCGAGTCGTATGGGAATGAGTGTGATGAGCGATATGACTACCGTCACAATGGAAGATGGAAAGAAAGTTAAGAAGAAGAGAAGTGCATTTGGATGGCTGAAGAAAGCATTCAGTCTAAGCGAAGAAGAGAGAGCAGAATACGAAGAAAGGAAAAGGAGACAAGAGCCTGATCCTTATTATGAACAAAGACCCCCAAGACAATTTTTAGATGGAAAAAGGTTACCACAACCTCAAGGGATTAGATAGAGAGCTTGATGAGCATAGCGAGCGTGCATTTTTCTTTTGTTTTCTGTGCAATGATACCCATTCTGCATATACAGTTTTTTTTATTTGATTCTTTTCTGTGGCTAGAATTTCTTATGGTCCATCTCGAAACGCGATGGGTTAGGTGCGAGGACATAGGTGATATTTTACCATTTGGAGTTAGTATAGCGATGGTGTTCTGGTTGGGGCAAATGGAGCTTTTATATAGCTGTTGGATGGGTAGGGGATGGAGGAGGTATATTGATTGATTGATTGGGTGGATGGATGGATGAGTTGATTGAACCCCCCCTCCCCCCCCCCCCCCGGACTTGCATGGGACTCGGGAGAGAGGAGAGATGAGATAGTTTGTCAAGAAAAGATAGGAGAATAGTCCTTGACATGTTGCTCGGGAATGTTAATGATATTATTGATATATATATAATGATCCAGTTTTTGTGTGGGATATCAGTGATGTGACAGGATGTGATATGATATGATTCGATATCCATGACTAGGTATTCCTTACTTATACATAGGCATGAGAGGTATATGGCTATCAAGATCCAGGTACATTATGTTGACTTTGCGAAATAATGTATGTTATTATTTATTATCATTCACTTTTTTTCTTCTCGTCTATAAACCAATCGATCCACTTCCCGCTCGTATCATGTCATCTCACTTCATCTCATCTAGTTTATTTTGTTTTCTTACTCTCCTCTCCTCTCCTCTCCTCTCCTCTCCTTCTCCTTCTCCTTCTCCTTCTCCTACTCTCCCACTTTTCAAGTCTATATCGGAGTGGTTGAGTTGAGTACCTGCAGAGAGACGAAACAAGGGGTTGAAAACAGAGTTGAGCAATGGAGTTTTGATTCAGGTTATGGTGATGAGATAGAACGAGATGAGATAAAGAGATTGAGTGTCTGTTTTATAACTTTGATGATAAGTTGAGTTGCAGACAGCGAAGGGTTAAAAGCGTTTTATCTTTGTCACATGCAGGTTTTAAGAATCTACAGTGTCGATGGTAGACGGTGGAAGAGAATGGAAATATTCGACGATAATGGAAGTTTCCAAGAATTTGAAATCGCACAACTCTCGGTCTGCAACTTGATACTAGTCAGAGATATAACGAGACCCAAAAACATTACCCTGTAGCTGACTGGTTTGGGACGTCCTGTGGTTGTTAGAGAGAGAATTAGCTATGCGCGGTTTGAAGTTGTGGTTTTGTAGATCTTGCACGGCTTCCAGTCTTCCAAGGCTCTCGGGAATGAGGGGTAAATAGGTGAGTTCTAGGTTTATGATTCACAGCATGCGCTATTTCAGAGAACGATCAAGTGTAGTTCTTTAATAGAGTGAATTTCTAAACATACTAGGAAAACTGCTCTGGAATCGAGAGATCTACGAGTAGAGAGAGAGAGAGAGAGAGAGAGAGAGAGAGACTGAACTCGCATGAGGAGTGCGAAAGTAGGTGCTTTGGGGGTTGTCTACCCAGATTTTGAGATTGTTGGAAAATTCAAAAATACACGGCAATTAGGGGTGGGAATATTTAGCGAGGTAGCTAGAATACTATCATCCCATGAGCAAGGAATTTGATCTACTCATGTGCAAATAATAATAGAACTTTGACCAGATTATTATTATTGAATATATCAGACGAGAAGAATTGGAGTTTGTTGACATCTTTCGATATAGCAAGATTTTGGGTGAGTGTTGTAGGTATCCGGTGCGGACAAGTTGTCAAAACGAGAAGGGCTGTCCCGATATTCTGAGATGGTGAGCTCTACTGATTGAGTCAGCCCTCTGAAGTCAATATGTGGTAATAAGTAGCAAGCGTCTTGAGAGTACAGTATTCTAGTTTGGATCCTTCATATTCTCCAGATTCCTCTGCATATTAGTAGGCAACAAAATGATCGAGAGGACCAAGCCTATTAATCGCTCAAGCTCTTGGTTATTCACTCCTTTGCATCTTTCTCGTGTATATATGTAACTTGCAATTTTCAAAACGCCTTGTCGCTGAAGTTCTTCCACCTGAACGGTGGAGCTATATATTCATGATCACTCACTGTCAAGGGAAGCGACTAGAACTCTGATGTGGGGAATGACCTTGAGTTTTGCGTGCCTTTTCCTGTATTTCGAAATTTCTGGCCATTGTCTGGCCACCGTTAATTCATCATATCAATTAGTAATCGTCTTGGGGATAAGATGGAAACTGAACTCAGTCACGTTTGTTATTGACTGAAAATGAAAATCATACTCGAACGTGTTTTCAGCAGCAGTAGGTCTTGAAACTACCGAACAATGATCATCTTAGATTATTTATGATCAAGTGAGTGATTTTCTGGTCTTGTTCAGTATGAGGCTATCAAATGCCAGTTGCCGTGCTGGTACCTAAATTCATCGAGACACCCAACTCAGAAATGACGTCGGGGACCATATGGTGCTGATGTACCTTGTCCATAACTTTGATTAATGCAAATGCACGGGGTATTCCCGCTTTCAAGGAGGACTAGGAAGAAAATTGCTAAAACCCTCTGCGGGGAAATTTCATATGCTAAGTCCACGAATAGAGAGTAGCTTCAAGCTAGAAGTGCGCGGGGTACTGTGAAAGTATAGAATGGCGTCTTGCTCAATTTTATTGCTCTATGAGGGGTTGCGCGCGTGTTCCGGTCGTTGATGTGCCCAAGAAGATATTCTGTGCTTGTATAGACTGGCGGGATAGGAGAACGTATGATCCAATTCTAAGAGGTGAACGGGAACATGCCAATCTAGAAGATCTATCGTCAGGATAGGATAGCGCATTTTTTTTGTTTCAAACACGCATCTATCTAGTTCTTTCACATCTTTTAGTGATATCGAAAGTGTTGAGCATGGCCACGTGTGAATTTTCAGTCAGGTCAGGATTGACAAAAATTTGAATCGCCAACAAGACTTGTATGACAATTAATGAGTTTATATATATCGTGATAGCAGTGAACAATATTTATTGCCGTTGTGGCACTAAAAGCTGCAGTAGATCCCCAAAAACACTGGACTAAAAAGAATTGGGCAAAAGGAAGGGGATAGGATGACCATTTCGGTCATTTCATTGCCGGGGTTTCTTCTTCAATCAAAAAGGAAGAAATGGTTTGGAGAATATGTAAGTTGTGCAAATTTGAAATCAACAGTAGTGAAGAAGCCTAACGGGACTCACAAGACTTGCCGAGAATAAGAGCCGCGTCTCCTTACCTTTTGATGCAAACCAAATCTTTCAATACTAAGTAAGAAGTTGGAACTAAAGGATGGCGAAGCTTTACCATCCTCACAACGACGGAATAAACTTTTATTATACGAATAGTGAGTATTCACACCACTTGCAAACGGCAGCCCCAGAATGTCAGGGTTTAGACAAAGCCATCCATAATCACGTCAACTTCAGGTATTTCACCGATTGGTACCGGATGCTTCAAGCATGTACGACGCGCTAGCAAAAGACAAATGACTGATAGATCCCGCCATCACCATCTATCGCCTCAGCCACGCTACGCTTTGAACATATCAATGGCATGGATGGATATTTATGGCGCTTAGTATGATTGCGCCGAAGGTATTGGGTTGTTGTATCTTTAAATCGGATCTTCTTTGAGTCACACTGAATGGGAATCTTCTCTCGTTTATGACTACCGCCCAAAGCCACGCAGAGAATGCTGCGATGATGTAGGAACAAGAAGAATCTCGGTACGTCGGTTTTCGTTTCTCGTTTGTATTCAGACGAATTGCTGTAGTTTATCCACAAACTCATCGATAAAAATTAAAGGGCCCATTAATATATGCAATGAAATACAGGATTAAGAGATCAGACATAATCAGCTGGATTCACAAACATTGTCTGATTTGTCCTATAAATCAACAAATCCCTCGAGAAGAAAATTGCTGTGGTGTTTCGGGTCATGTGATGAAGATATTTAGCCACAATGTGGCTAGCCCTCCCCTAGATTGATATCAGCCACATCAGTAAGAACCTTGGCCACCAAATATCACATCACAATTTCGCTACCATGAGGAAAAATAGGTGTAATCAGCACCATCTATACCTACAAAAAATCTGTAGTAACTGGCCGACATGCGAGTCATGACCCGAGATACAAAGTCCGGCAATGACAATAACGGTCAAGGCTTGCAATAGTTTCGGGTTTCCAACGCTCAGCTCAATCGTCAAAATATTGACTGACATCGACCAAAGAATAATTGCAAGTGGAGCTGATATGGAGCCGATGAAATAAGATTCCACTGATACAACCATAGACTGAATCTGGACTTTGCGGTTGGTTTTTCGTCTTGTGGCTGGTAGGCTTCCCTTTCGTGGTTGAAGTTTCGACACTTATGGCTCAAAGAACGTGGCTCGAGCATGGCAGCATGAACATTTGACCTATGGATTTCAACCCTTCTCTGCAACTCCTATGTGTGCGTCATTGACGATACTCTAATCTCATTTGAAACGAGCGAGGTCTTCGAGTCTCTCACATTGTTCGATAGCGCTGAGCAAAAAGAAATGCTTTGTACAAGAAACAATGGTGGATAAGGAATTTTCCGATTCTCCGAAGCCTTGCACATACAATCTGATCAATTGGGCAGTCCCCTGGCAGAAATTATACAGAAGAGGACTCCATATGCATTTCGGCTACTTATCCACCCGATCCTGTTGAAAGTTCAGATGGAACTTTGGAAACACGCTCCTATCAGTATCGGTTCTCATCACATTATCCGCGTGTGGTCAACGAATCCAAAAACGTTTCTCCACAGCCAATCGTAACACTATTGATCCATCAAATCCTCATGAAAGCAAATTCCTTTTTCTTTTTTACTTTAAATTTCCAAGATAGGCCCGAATCATGTGAAAAATTGGGCTAGATGCTTAACTTGGTTAGGCCACCATAAAGAGAGTCCACAGCCACTGACTGTGCATGAACTCGACGATGAAAAGTGTGGCTTGGTTGGTCTTGGTTGTGTGAATTGCTGTGTTCTTGATTTCTCAATTTTTTTGTCATGAAACCATCAAGCTTTTACGTGCAGGAACTTCATCCCGGCATGATTTCGCCGTTTCTAGAACATACTCGGATGAACTTTTAAGCTATAGGCCAAATATGGGAATCCGAGTGGATCAGTATCCCCCAGAACTCCCTGAACCGGCAAGATCCTGAAACGTCAAAATAGGCGAAAAAAAGCTTTTGAAACGTGCGAACAGGGGCTTTCCATAGCGAATTGTCTAGATGACGACTATCCAATTTACCCCTCAATATAAATTCATCGAATAACAGCCTCATGGCGTACCTTCCCCTCTATTGATCGATCCACTTTTGAACGAAGTAGATAGACGATATAAAACGAAACAAATAAGAGAGAAGGGTTTAGGAACCTCAATCAAGCACATACCAAAGTTTACCGGGACAGTGGGCACAGTCGAGGCTCAAATAGATGAATTCGATAATAGAAGCTTTTTGGCCATTGCCAGTGGATTGATTATAATGGACTCAACAAGTTCGGGAGTATTTTGAACTTCTGAAAGTACAAAAAGGTTTGTGTGCGCAAAATTTGAATTTTCCTCTGTATCGCAAGAATTGTTTCTTTCTTCTCTTCCGTTCCTTCTCTCATTCCTTCCTTTGAGTTGTTACCTTGACGGTATACATTCTTTTTCAAATTCATTCTTTTCTCAAACTATCTTTGACAGGTCTGGTGACCTTTTTTTCGAACGTAACAACTTCACATACACATTCATTCAAATTCATTCAAATTTAACTGTCGCAAGCAACACATCTCAAAATTTTAAGATGCGCGCTTCTTTACTCACTCTTGGTTTTGCCGCCAGAGCTCTTGCTCAAACAGCTGCCTCATATGTGGATGCCAACACTGGTATCACATTCGAGGGTGTAACAGACACCACAGGATTCCAGTTCGGTATGGTCATGGAGGCCAATGCCACATCTGACTTCATCGGACAGATTGTAAGAACCTGTTCTTCAAGTATTGACTACACAGAATGCTAACATTGTTTAGGTCTTCCCAAGTACAGCTGGTTCAGGATATGGAGGTGTTTCATTAACTGGTAATATGGTCGGCAGTATGTTGATTGTTGCTTGGCCCAGTGGAACTGATGTCATCGCATCGTTGCGTGAGACCAGTGGATACTCTTCTCCAGGTGCCTACGCAAATGCCACGGCAAAATTGTTGCCAATTGCGAATGGTACCTTTGTTAACTCAACCCACATGTCATACACTTTCCTTTGCCAAGCTTGTATTGGAAACACTTATACTTTGGCTGCTGGTGCTAGTCAAGTCGTTATTGGATGGGCTCTTGGTAATGGCACAGTCACAAATGCTGCCTCTGCTACCGATGCGACTTTCACTTATCACGGTACTGGATATGGTGATTTCGGCATTCAAACTGCCAGTGCTGTGAACGATAATTACGCCACATGGGCTGCTATGGCTAGCACTGCCACTGCCAGTAACACAACTGCATCTACTACTACCACAACTTGCTCAAACACTACCGTCTCAACTTCTAACTCAACCTACGATTACATCATTGCCGGTGCAGGTCCAGCTGGTATTATCGTTGCAGAGCGTCTTGCCGAGAGCGGTGCCTCTGTCTTGATGTTAGAGAGGGGGAACGTTTCCACCTATGCTACTGGTGGTAGATCCACTGTTTCATGGAACGATACCGTTACCCAATATGATGTTCCTTCCATGGCATACTATCTCACATCCGCTTCTGTCTCCGACGAATACTGCACAGACACTGCTTCAATGGCTGGATGTCTTCTTGGAGGTGGTACTATGGTTAATGCTTTGATGTTCGTTCGTCCACAAGAAGCTGATTTCGATGACAAATGGCCAACTGGATGGAAATGGACCGATGTCAGCGCATCCGCCGACAGACTCTATGAGCGTAACCCTGGTACCACCAACCCTACCTCAAACTCGCAAAGATACGATCAAAGCGTATGGAACGTTCTCTCTTCATTCTTGGGTAACCTTGGATGGTCCGAAGTTGATGCTATCGAATCACCAAATTCGAAAACTCAAGCTTACTCTCATCCACCATGGGATATCCAAGATGGTCTCCGTGCTGGTCCAGTCAAGTCTTACTACCCTCTCGCTACTGCCATGAACAACTTCAAAGCCCAATTAAATACCAAGGTCGTAAGAGGTATCCGAAGCACCACCAACAGTACCACATTCTCTGGTGTTGAGGTTGAAAACTCTAACACTGGTGTTCGTCAGATCATCAACCTCAATGCAGGTGGTAAGCTTATTCTCGCTGCTGGAGCCATGTCTACTCCTCGTATCTTGATGAACAGTGGAATTGGTCCAGCCGATCAAATAACCACTGTGAAGAACGGAAGCAGCTGTGTTACTCTCCCAGCTGAATCTGACTGGATTAACCTTCCAGTCGGAAAGAACCTCAAGGACCACCCAATCTTCACTCTCACTTTCAACGTTACCGGTGCAATGGCTAGCAACTCCACCTCGTTGGCGTCAGCTGATTTCACTTCCCCAAGTACTGCCAACATCGATCTCTTCGCCCAACAAACTGGGCCACTTGTTCAATCTGGTCAAAGATTGAACTTCTGGACTTCGCTTAACACCACCAGTGGAACCAAATACTTCCAAGGAACCTGTAACTCCCCCGCTAGTGGTCAAATCCGCATCAAGCTCTACCTTACCCATGGTTTGACATCCACCGGTGTTCTTGGTATTACTAGTTCCGGTGCCACAGAATTCACTACTAACCCATGGATGAACACCGCCGACGATCAATCTGCCATCGAAACCATTATTGACTACTTCCTCAACGCCGCCAAGAACAGCACCATGCTCAAACCATCCGATAGCACCATTACAGGTGCTTCTTTGGTCTCTGCTGGTACTTACGTTACTGGTGATCATTTCACCGGTACTGCTATTATGGGTGAGACCAACGATGGAACTTCAGTTGTCGATACCAACACCCAAGTTTGGGGAACCGACAACTTGTTCGTCGTGGATGCTTCTATGCACCCTGATATGCCCACTGGTAACACTCAAGCTATCGTCATGGTTGCCGCTGAGCAAGCCGCACAGAAGATCTTGGCATTGGCTGGAAAAACTATCTCCTCTACTGCCTCCACCACCACTTCATCTTCAGCTTCTTCGAGAAGCAGCGTTGCTTCAGCTCCAGCGGTTTCAAGAGCCGCTGCATCTCCATCTGCTGTTTCAGGAGCTACTACATCTGCTTCCTCAGCAGCTGCTAGTGCTGCCTCTGGTGATGATGATGATACCTGCCCATTCGGTTATGAGCTTGACGAATAGAGTATTGTAGAGACTTCAGCGTTCTGATAGAAAGAATAGAGGAGGGACGAACAACCATTTCTTTGTATATATGTCCACATAGTTCTTGATAGCGTTATTGCAATTCATGTATAAATTTGACATTTTATATATACACACATACCCGCTTGACACACGTTGGAAAATTTACTTTTTTTGACTTTTACTAAAGTTAGTGAAAGGATTATTCTGATTTAATTTAAACTCTTGATTTGCTATTAAAATTCATACAAAAAACAGAACATAAGATTGAAACTCTATAACTGCTTCACAATTTCTCAAACTCCGTCGTTCCTTCATAAGGCTGAAGATAGTTATCTTGAAGCCACGCGTGTTCACCCTCCACAACCCCAAAGTTAAATGCAGCACGACTCTTCCTACTTTGATTCGCCTCACTCTTATGCATCAAATTACCATGCATCAATATCAAAGTTCCTGCTTTCACCTCTAACTTCTTATACTCAAACTCTCCCTTCTCATTCTTCTTTGGCAGAGTCGAATCATCCACCCCCTCAATCTGCGCATAGACCGGGTTTTCCAAATCAGTAAATACCGGCTGTCCATTCCCATTAGTAATACAACGTCTCGTAATAGGTTGTGTACGATGACTCCCCGGCGCAACCGCCAAACATCCATTCTCCGTCGAGCAATCTTCAAGCGCGTACCAGAAAGTCGTGCAACTCGATGGATTTGTGAATCCCGAACAGCCATCTTGGTGAGGAATCACGCGCGCGCCAACCTCGGCCGCTTTCACGATGATCAGACTTTGGTAAATGCGTGGGTCTTGGTAGCCGAGGGATTGGGCGAGTGTGGAGTGGAAGGGACTGAGGATGGCTTTTCGGAAGGGGGGCATGACCCGGTGGATGCCGCAGCCGATTCGTTGGATACGTTTTAGGGGTTCGACGGCGGGATTAAAGCCATCTTGATAGAAAATCAAATGTTAGTATTATGGAGAAATGATTAGGGTGTGCGACTTACGTCCACTCAATGTGGCGATTGCTCGACCCACAGGACTCACGTACGATTTCTGCCCGGGGAGATAGGCATGTTTTTTTACTCTCTCGCCACCGCCAGCAAGTACTTGTGCCGCTTCATGTACAGTCTTAAGTAAGTTATCTTTTTGGCTGTCGGATAGTGTGTCTGGGATGACGAGATATCCATTTTCTCTCCAGAATTGTAGTTGCTCCGCGCTTAAATTACCATTTTTGGCCTCGCGGGGCGAAGATTGCAAATTTGCAGTGGTAACTTGCGCTCTGTCAAGTGTTCCATTTGCAAGATTCCCTGTGGTATCTTTCGAAGTGAGGGTCACGGGAATTGATCGGCCTTGAAGCATTGCGAGTATCTGAGCTTTTTGGGCTTGAGAATTCACTTTCAATATGACAGGGATGTTATTGGCTTCGTCGTTTCCGGGGGAGTGTAGCTCCAGTAGCTGAGTCTTCATTTCCATAACATCGGGGATTGCTTCAGTGATAGTATCCTTAGGGGATTGTAACTCTAGTAATTGAGTTTTCATCTCCATAACATCGGGAATAGCTTTTATAATAATATCCCCAGATTTCTGATCGTTGTTGGAGAGTATATCGATGGATGATTTATTGAAATTTGCATCATCAACAGCTGCAGATTTCAGTTCCAAGGTGACACTCTTAGGATCCAAAGTATCAGGAATGGCGCTGAATGCTTTTGTGGGGACCTTAACGTCAGTCAGTGCCAGGAGAAGTGGTCCATCCTCGCCGTCAACGGATTGACTGTCAATATTCTCGCTATTACCCCCTTCAGCAGGCTTCAATTCAAGAGTGAAACTTCTCGGGTCTAAGGTGTCAAAAATAGCGCTATCTGGACCTTTAGTGAGCTGATTCTGATTCTGGTTGGTGAGAAGCAATGTCAGGAGAAGTTGTCCATCCTCGCCGTCGATAGTAGATGATCTACTGTCAGCCGTGTCCTCAATTTCACTTGGAGTAGGCTTCAGCTCAAGAGCGACATCTCTTGGATCCAAGGTATCACTCGGTCGTACATTATTCAACCTAGGGTCTCTCACATTGTTGTTGTTCTGGTTGTTTAACAAGAGCACGAAAAGGAGAGGTCCATCCTCGCCGTCGGTAGAGGTTGGGTCGTTATCGAGTCCTTCTTCATTGCCATTTCCAGCGGAGGCCAGCTCGAGAGCATAGTAGTCGGGATTCAAGGTGTCGGAAACAGCATCTGGAGCTGGTTGAGCAGCAGCCCATTCATTGGCATTGTTATTTCCCATCAGCAATGCTAAGAGAAGTGGCCCATCGACGCCTTCTTCGTTCTTGAAGGGTTGACTAACGCCGTTTGCCTCTTTCTCGTCGCTTTGAATGGTGGGCTCATCGATAGGATAATTCGTTTTCGGAATTGCCATGATCGTTGGATGGAATGGAAAGAAAGTTGAAATGAATATGTTTGTATTGCACTCAATTCTTAACTTTTTGGAAGAGGCGAACTTACATCTTGTGTTTCAGCCCCTCCCTCTGTTATTTGCCCCGCAGTAGCAATATCCAATATCGCAAGGGTAATAATCTTCAACCCCACCTTAACCATGCAATTCACTCAGCCTCTGGAGAATGAACCCAATATAGAAGGTGCGCCAGATGTTGCAGATCAGATTTAAGCATGAATCTTGGAACGATACGCTTGGCAAGCCGATCAGATACGTCGCCTAACAGCCATCATCCATTGTCCAATTATTAATAGATATCAGATATGATGATAGCTTCAACCCCACTAAGGCTGTTGTTCAGCTGGATTATCAATCGCAAGGATGAACCGGAGTAATCATATATTTTAAAAGGTGCATGTCATTTGTGTCATCAGCTTCGCTTGGCTGTGCTCGTCTGATCGCCATCGTCCACTTTCCGATCAACTACAAAAACAAAAAAAATAAAAAAAATGTGGGGGCGTAGGTGGGATACGGATGAAAAGCCTCAATTCCGAATGGCACTCGATGTGTTGGGTAGAGGTGGGGTGACGGTAGCATTAATACCCCTCTTTCGCAATCCTCAATTGAGTAGGCCCGATGCAAAAATCTTGAATCCATTCATATTGCATCTACTCACCTGAATCAGTTCAGCCACTTCCGTACTTCCTACTCTTTCCTCACTTATTCTGCAAAACAATCAAGACTTCTCGGATATTCTCACAACAGTGACGCTTAGCTCGAAAGAAAGTCAAACATGTCCCCTCATCACAAGCACCCCCTCCACGTACAACACAAGAAGCATGGCGATCATGACCATATCATGAAACGCATGAATGCATACATCAAAGCATACAAGAAAGGAGACACCGAAGCCATCATGAAATACTATCATCCGACCAACTTTGTCTACTCAGACTTCAGTATGTTTTCACATACACTTATTTTTCCAATCTCGCTAACGACAGCTCTCCCCTAGGCACACCCAACAATCAACTCATGGGTCTTTCAGAAGTCGAGTCGCACTATTCAAAAACCTTTTCCGACTTCTACGACCTCACAATAACTACTGCCTCCGTACATGGACACAAAGATTTCACAGCCTGGGAGTGGGAAATCACATGCAGACCAGCGATATCCCCAGCGACAGGTGAACGACTGCCGAAAGAAAAGACAGAGTTGAAGAAATTGGTGGGCTGTACGTTGATGTGGTGGGAAGATGATTTGATAGTCAGAAATCATGATTATGTGCAGGTGAAAGAAGTTTAGGGGAGATTGATAAGGGACAAATCGAAGTATCCTAGAAGACGAATTGGTATGCGCGTAGCGGCAAATATCATGCATGTAGTTATGTTTTGTGCTCAGTGTTTGACGCGATCGCCGTGGAGAAATGCCGGATGCGGGAATGATGTTACCTTGGGATTGGCTTTGTGAAATTTTATGGTACTCGGATGTATAGGCGGGCGGTTGTTATGACTTTATGCAAATGAACGTATTAAATAATGAAATATCTGATCAACACTTGTTACGCGAAAATTGTCTAGAAGAACTACCTGTCTATCCTACAGACCCCTTTTACCGCACTATGCAGTTTTTAGGACCGTACACTACATTTTCTTAAGGGTAAGAAGATATTACAATTCTCAGGACTATATTCAAGTCTTTATAAGCATATCGTTCAAATACAAACCACAGTTGTAGGTCGATTTTTGCTAATGATATCATGCATTGTCTCTCGAAAAGTCCTGGAAATCTCAACGGACTTGAAACGCACCTTCTCAAACAACATTTTTCCCATCAGAACTGTATCATACACTTGTCTCAACTCCATAGGACTACCATACAGAGAGACAAATCGATGACTTCCTCGCATATCAATACAATGCTTCTCTGATCATCTCAAATTTAATCCCCTTTACGGTCTTTCATTTCTTAGACTGCGCGTTGTAAGACCGCACCCCCCTCACTCTAATTCTTCAAATCTCCCCCATTTCTCCCCCATCTAATCATCCCCTCCAATCCCCATCCCCAAAAACGTCAAAAGCGCCACATTCATCCCTGCAACCACAAACCAAAGCAATCACTCCCCCATTTGCCAAATTACCAGTAATTTCTCTCATACTTCCCTCTCCAACCCCAACCCCAAGCCTCATAAACCTCTCACAACCCATACACCCAAACCAACAGCGCCTCAAAAAACCCCCCAACTCAACACCTCCTCAAACGCCCTCCCACCTCCTCCGTCCCACCACCGCAGCAATCCCACCCATCAGAACAATCACCACATATCTCGTGAGCAATCTCCTCAAAAACGACGCCATCCGCCAATCCATCACTCCTTCACAAATAAGTTGTCTCACCATCCCCGCCACGATCCCCGCGCTCACCCCGCTAAACGATGATCCTACTGTGAAGATCGTAGCACCAGGTCCAATCAACTTAACAAACTTCCATGATGAACTTGCTACTTCTTTCGCATATCGTAGAGAAAGAAAACTTCGCGACGGATCCAAACTTGAACAAGACTCTTGAGATTCAGAATCAACTACAAGATTAATACCCATTTCGTCTCATTCGAATGGTTCGACTCGAGACTATTGCTTCTAGCTTCGGCTAGAAATGTGGATTCTAGGTTGATCCATGTTTGATTTTCTAGGGACTACTCAGGAGAAGTGGTGTATCATATCTCCCCGAAACATATGGACGCCATATTGTAAGTTCATAAATTTCTGTTTGAAGTGGCTTTGTAAGTTTGATTGGTATCCGTGACTGTCACTTCAGAGACTTCATCAAGCGCCGTCATGCCATTGCATGATCCGACCATGAGATATCACTTCATAAGTAGATCACCAAAATGACATCTGGCAGCACAACCTCACCGAGCGCTTCAGCTCCAACTCATATTCTGCCATCTCAAGCCGCTCCTTTTCCTACATCCCTATTTGGGCCTACAAACATGTGATAGCCATTCATCACTGAATAAACGCCACACAGTGAGTGCAACATTGAGCATTCAACTCCTCTGCGACATAACAAATATAAAAACAAAACTACACCGTTTCTTCATTCAGGCAGAGGTAAAGATGCATGAGGACCCACAATGAAATCTGACACCAACTAGGTATGTATCACCTGTCAATGGAGTAATAACCGAGTTTAAACCCATCGCATCTCCATTCAATGCCAAAAGCGCTTGATCAAAAACATCTCATTAGAGATCACATTTTCACCACCAGGACTCAGCGATCAAAACCCCAAATGCAAACTCGCCAATCCCCAACGCACCCATATCATCGCCCCTATAAAATACAACCACGCAGAGTATTACACTAGACTCTCGCATGCATGATGCAAGCCACTTCGAAAAGCCCTACGCTGTTTTTCAGAGCATCTACATCGCCGGCGAGAAATAAGATTCCCGCGCATCATGGCGGTATTGCCAATGAACTTGTCGGCGCCAAATTCGAGGACAAAGAGGCGATTGATGAAGGCTGCAATACTGAAAGCAATATCATCCAATTTTACCATAGTTTCAGATGTTCGGATATTAGTTGTACTTTCTTCGAAGAAGTCATTTGTGAAGATGGGGAATTCTGGAGCGAGGATGGCACCAACTTGTGAATATCTCTCGATGGGTTGCATAACAGAAGAGAATTGCGATGCTGTACGAACCACAATCAAGGCTAGGTAGATGTATGGCGCATCCGCGATAATCAGCTGAAAAGATAGGAGAATAGTTTGATCGGACTCAACGAAACGTGGAAGTAAAATGGGTATTGGCAGATCTTGTGGAACAATGTACCACATACAGAGAGAGTCATTACAAGGCCCCTAAGGGTAGGAGGTATATCATTGTAGTATTCTATGTTACATAGTAAAATACGTAGGAACTTAGTTACCTTGACATTGAGATGGACCAATCAATTAACTCCGATTCTCTCAATATGCTGCGCCGTTAGATAATAAAATGAACTTCCATCATCAACTTCATAAAATGACGGATTGAACTCATATAAAGGAAGCTCCATCGAGTTGGAAACTATTGCAACAATATCCAGTTCAGTACCCAATGCTTAGATTCAAACTCCCTTTTCTTGCAATCCTACTGTGGAGACGAAAGCTTACCAACACCTGAAATCGCCAGCCAATTTCCCCTCTAGAAATCATCTCCCACAAAGCGATTCATAACCTCACACACCCGCTTCAGCAGTAGGAATATTCAAACTCCAATCAATGACTGCATATTCCCCATGATGTTCAGTCAACCACTCATTCGTCTTCTTAAAATGTCCACAATCAAACCATCCCCTACTCGCACTCAAAGGACTAGGATGTACACTCATCAGCACACAATGTTTCTTCCTATCCACTTTCGCCACTCTTTTCCCCGCAGGACTTCCCCACGCCAAGAACACCACTCCTTTATTCCTCTTAAAAGCAACTGTATCGATAACTTTTTGAGTAAATCTTTCCCAGCCGTGGTTTGCATGGGAATTGGCTTGGTGAGCTCGCACTGTGAGACATGTATTGATGAGAAGAACACCGCGATCTGCCCAGGGAGTAAGAAGACCACCGTTATTTGGAGGAGGTTTGAAGTCTGGATAATCTTTTGCGAGGGCTTTGAAAATATTCTTGAGAGAAGGTGGAGCTGGTGTAGGAGCGCGCACGGAGAAACAGAGACCATGAGCTTGATTAAAGTTGTGATATGGATCTTGGCCGATAATTACGGCTTTGACGGTGTGAAAAGGTGTATGTCTTGACCTGTTCATTTTCATATTCAATTAGCCATTGGTTACTGGAGCGAAATTGAACGATTTAATCAAGGTAAAAATGTACATACCAAGAGTAAACATCTTCCATTGGGGGAAATATCTTATCCTTTCCCTCCAATTCCTTTTTCAAAAACTTCTTTAATTCCAGAAACTCTTTTCCTACAATCTCATCTTTTAATACTGCCAACCAGCTGTCGTGTAGTGTTTCAATCTCCAATTTCAACAAATCCTTCTGTTCTTCTGTTAATGTAGCTATCCATTTTTCCTTGTTGAATTTCAATGCTGCTGGTGCTGGTGTAGTAGAACCTTTGGTAGTCGAAGAAACGGTTTTTGGTGGACCGAAGAACGAAGTAATTGATCCGTTTGCTTTAGGTTTTTTGGCGTCGTTGGTAGGATTTGTAGTTGCTTTGCGTTTGAGAGACATGATGGGAATTGGAAGAAAAGGTCGATGATGAAAGAGGAGTAGTGTAGACACTTTAATAGCGGTAACTCTTAATCAAAGTCTGTTTGAACAGAATATATGAAGGAGAAGAAGGTCAACTTTAAATTTCCCAAACCTATGATGCAAGTTCGCGTCAGAGCACCTTGAGACGCGTAAAGCTACTTTACTGGGGTACGCGGTACCAAGCGCTCTCAGAGCCAAACGAAAGTCTGGGGTGATAACGGGTCGGGTCGTTAGTCCTCACTCATTCTTTGAATCGCCCCTTCACCAAAATCATGAATCGATATTGCTTCCCTATCTTCGATTTTCATACTTTGAGTGTATTAATATCGTTCAAGTTCTCTTAGTTTCTAGGATCTCTAATACTTTACAAAATTCCAGATACCTGCTCAAAATCGCTGTGCTTCTAAACGCTTGGTATTACAATTCCGGATTCCTTTTATGCGCCAAACCAACCTTCCGTCCGTACAGAAGAGGGGAGAATTCATTTCATCACTCGGTTCCTCGCTTTAATTCCGCTTTCTCATTCACACTCCTGAATGCTCTCTTCCCTACTTCATAACAACTTATCATAATTGCACATGCTGGAGCAACCTTCAAGGTCCTGGCCACCCATCCTTTCCATAAACCTCCGAGACCTTCTTCTTTGAAGATGTGCATGAGAAACCTTGGCATGGATTGTTCTTCGGGTGCTAGAATCTTTTCAACTCCAGCAGGTGTTTTCCCTGGTTCCTGAAAAATTTGTTGACGTGTTTTCCCAACATCGAAAGGCATAGTCAAAATAGAAGCAACTGCCCCAGACGATGCCCCAGCGATAAAACTGTCCAGGAATGTCGCTGAGTGATTTTCTCGACTTTGTGATCTGGTACGTATTTGACCTCTAGAAGTATTCCGATCATATGTTCTCCCACGACCCCGCTCTCGTGCATCTGTCAAAGCCCCTCTTATGGATTCATAACCCCACCAGTAAATTCCAGAAAAAGGTACATCCCTCCAGAGTGTTAAAGTTAATCCTCGCCACAAAGATGTATAGCCGTGAAGTGACACCATTTCGCCGACACTCTTCACCGTTTCCGCAAAATGTGTTCCTCCAGTCGCTTGACTAGCTTGCATTCTCGTTCTAAACATCTCGATCGGACTGACAACTGCCGCGGCTATAGTCCTTGCGGATGCGCCAGCAGCAAGAGGAGCATAATTGTCATTGAAAATTCGATTTATAGGACTTTGGTTGTTGAATCTTAACCAGTCGTATCCCGTAAAGTATATTATATTCGAAGGAACTGTCATGACTAAAGTAGGTGATAATCCTCGCCATAAAGTCGTGACCCCTTCATTCCGCGCAATCTTTCTCATCCCATCGAAAGTTGAATTATAGGTCTTTTTTTGTGTTTCTTCAATGGCGCATCCCACACCCTCCATGGCGCTTATTCGAGGTGCAGCCATACAACCATCGCTCGTTGTACCGCTGGTAAAGAAAACTTCTCGACAACATGCTGTTATTCCCAAATTTGGTGGTAGAGTACCGAAAGTTTGAGGGGAGGCCAGAGCAGCTTTTCGAATGGCTGTGAAAGGTGATGGGGAAGGTTGAGACTGTAGACGAACTCTAACAACATCTAAAGGAGTAACTATAGTAGAGTGTTAGTTGCAACATGTTATAGATCTCAAATGCCGGGTGGCGTGCGTACCTAACAATGATGTTAATAGACTTCCAGACATTGCCGAGATCATCTTTTGAGATGCCGTGATGTCAATATCGACATCATCATTATCGCCTGTCATAGCTACAGTTCCTGATTCTCCAGGTATTGGATCATCTCCATGTATTCTGTCATGTCCTAAATGTTCGGATTCAAAAGTTGTTGGGATTGGGTCCCCCACAGAAGAAGGGCGACTATCCCAAAGGCCGGACATGAAAGATTGTGTTTGAGTGGAATGACGTCGAATTGACGAGTAATCTGGAGTAACTTAATTGCGAAGTAGGTTACGGGTCAGAGTGTGAAGAAGAAAACCAGTTATTAACGTACGTTGTTGTATCTGTATAGCTTGCAAAGAGAGGGGAAAAGACTCAAGATCTACGGATCATCATGATGTAAATTGAATAGCTAATGAGTCGTTAGAACGGAGGTGTGGAATTGAATAGACCGAAAACTTATTAATTAATTCCTTCCCGCCTTCGATCTGTAGTAATATGAGAGTTATCAGAGTTCTCCACTGATCAAAGAAAAATTTGGGAGCGATAACGGATCTTGCGGCGATAAGAGATCTTGTCATTATGTCAGCGGCGATAGATAGCCATGTCAGACCAAAGAATTATCATTGGGTAGGTAACTACTATTCACTTCGAATCCAAATAATAATCAATGGTGAATTGCATTATTTTCCCCGAATCCTACATCCCTTTCCCTCACTCTCTTCAAACATCACATCACATACCGTTCATTCTAAATCGTATAGCATGGAGGACTCAAATCCCGAATTGGAAACATTCCGCAAGCAATGGCAGGAAGAAGTGACCAGACGGTCCAATGTTGCCCAGGCATATCCTCCAACCCAAGCGGCTGGGCCTTCTAATGTTCCACAAAGAGCTCCACGGACAAAACATATTCATGAGAATACTAATAAACCTGGAGATGAGGATGCTGTTGAGCCTCAAACATTACACTTTGACGGACCAAGTGGCACCGTTGGTGCAGGAGAAGAAGATGAATTCTATCCATACGGTAAGAAGCATGTCAACAGTGAGCCACAGTCAGCTTTGGAACACTATGAAAAAGCGGTAGAGAAGGAAGGTCAAGGTAGTTTAGGAGACAGTCTTGATCTCTACCGCAAAGCATTTCGGGTAAGTTTGGTTCCAATTGAATCCAACCTACGAGCCTTTTGCTGATTATCCTAAGCTTGATGATCAAGTTGATCGAAAATACAAGAACAAACATTTCCCACCATCTGCCTTCCCGCCGAAACCTACAAAGACAAATCCATTCAATGCATCTGCCACAGTACCCAATACCGCACACCACTCACCAGATGGGCCCCCACAAACTATGAAACAATTAATAGAAAGCTTTTCGGATTTATCAATCGAACCATCGCCACCAGAAATTGAAGGAACGCCGGCCCCTCCATGTCCAATTGCAGATGTACCTGATGAAATCCTATTACAAATATTCAAAGAAGTAGCAATTAGGGATGTGGCTGACCTTGCACGAATCACACAAGTATGCAAACGCATGGCATACCTTGTAACGACGGGAGAACAAATCTGGAAAAGGATATGTCTTGGCTCAGAATTCGGATTCGAAGCAATGTATTATCAATGGCAAACAGAAGTCACAGGAGAGCTCCTTGAAATCGAGCCTCAATTACTTTTGCCTCCGGAAGACTCAGGTGAAGAGTCTATTGCATCAATGCCTCTCAGCAACGATACCATCACCCATTCTCTACTCCAATCAACTTATTCTTCATCCTGGAAACAAATGTTCCGTTTACGTCCGCGCATTCGTTTCAATGGCTGCTATATAAGCACCGTCAACTACATTCGACCTGGGCAAGCCTCCCCTTCAGCAGTAGCTTGGAATTCTCCAGTCCACATTGTTACCTATTACCGCTACCTTCGTTTCTATCGTGATGGCACATTAATCTCTCTATTAACCACCACTGAACCTAGCGAAGTTGTTCATCACTTGACAAAGGAACTTCTCGAATATCACCGGAGAAACCAATCTTCCCATCTCCCTTCTTCTGTGATGAGCGATGCTCGTCGTGGACGTTGGCGCCTGTCGTCTATCAATGATTCTCCTTCTCCAGACGTAGATACTGAACCCTCTCCAAAAGTTGGAGGGTCAGAGGGTACATTATATGTGGAAACAGAAGGAGTCCATGAAAAATACTTCTATAGAATGGAGTTAAAGATGACTAGTGCAGGGAAGACGGTCAAAAATAACAAATTAGCTTGGAATGGATTCTGGAATTATAATCGCTTAACGGATGACTGGGGAGAGTTCACATTGAGGAACGACAAAGCTTTCTTTTGGAGTAGAGTGAAGAGTTATGGGATGGGTGCATGAGGGATTGAATACATCAAACGCAGTTGTTTTTTTACGATTTTCAGTGAGCGAGTTGGATAATAGAAAGACAATGATTAGTTGTTGCGGTCGGTATCGGAATGAGTAACAACTCAGAACAAGATGCTGATATTGCAATATGACATGACCCAGATGAGTAATGATTATGATACTGGATATGAACAGAATAGAATATGTACAGAAACAGCAAATGGAACATGATATCAAGTAGGTATTGTATTGGTATTGAGTATTGACCTTCTTGACACAGAGGTTTATGCCAAGCAGACTTGCATATCTAGAAAGTACGATGTACAATCCGCATGCATATTTAAGTAGGTTTTGAATACCAGTACCAATTGATGATCAATCCTCAAAACCTTACAAGAACCAATCTTGTAACTTAACGGTTGGACCCCATCTCATCTCCACACGTAAACTTTCTCCATCAAATTACCCAACCTTGGAAACTCTAGAACAATGGATATCGTGCCTCGAACGTGCCTCGAACGTGCCTCGTGCTTACCTTACCTACTCTCACTCGCTTTATTAAACGACATCTCCGAATCATCGCCGGACAATGGAATCACGTGTCGCTATGACTACAAACTTCCCCAAAGACCCACTAATGGTAGTGAGCATAAAAGTGGTCAAAAAGAGTCATCGGCCCTGAGAAAGATTGAATGTATTTTAATGGCGAGCAGGTTATCTACAAAGTCGACTTTATTGTTGAATTCTATATCCGTACACTCAATTCGATCCAGTTGCTCCGCTCGCGAAGTTATCTCCCAAGCAAGGGTCTTCTCCCTTTCTTCCACCACAACCGAGCCTGTGAAAAATTTCAATCCTCCACCACATCGCCATCTGGCCTCAATCTTCAAAGTCTCTCAACTCCAAACGCCATCTTCTGTTCGAAATCTC